TGTATGCTTTTATTGGGGGCTGGCTACTATCCCTAAGCTTTTCTTCTCAAGACTGGCACTCTACTATTTGAGTCACAGATCCACTTAAGTCTTTTGACCAAGGTCCTGAGTTCATTCCCCAACATCAAAAAGAAAGAAGCCAGTGGCTAGGAATGTGACTTAGTGGTAGAGTGCTTGCCTAGCATACATGAAGCCCTCGGTTCAATTCCTCAGTACCACATAAAGAGAAAAAGCCAGAAGTGGCACTGTGGCTCTAGTGGTAGAATGTTAGCCTTGAGCCAAAAAGAAGCTCTAGGACCTGAGTTCAAGCACTAGGGCGAAAAAGAAGAAGAAGAAGCCCCAGTAACCGAGAGGGGGGCGGGGGGAGAGAGAGAAAGCAGTCATCACTTTGCCTGTTTTAAAGACTGGAATAATTTTTTAATCTTTCACACAAAGATTGTGTTATAGTCCTTGACCAAAAGGAATAAAGGCATTTTAATTCACCTAGATCATCCGTTGTGGGGCCTGAACTCTGGGCCTGGGCGCTGTCCCTCAGCTCTTCAGCTCAAGGCTAGCGCTCTACCACTTGAGCCACAGCGCCACTTCTGGCTTTTTTCTTTTTGCTTATGTGGTGCTGAGGAATCGAACCCAGGGCCTCATGCATGCAAGGCAAGCGCTCTACCACTGAGCCACCTTCCCAGCCCCTAGATCATCTTTTTTTTAAGTAGTAGGTTGACAAATAAGAATAGGATGATGAGATGGCAAATCAATAGTGTATGGCAACCAATATAGAACAGAATATCAAATGTAAGGTCAAGTGTGCATGTATGCATATGCGTGTGTGTGTGAACGTGTGTGTATGTGTTGGGTATAAAATGCAGTTTTAACTATAGGTAATTGTTAAAAATTTGAATACTAGTGACTTAGTCCACTTAAGACTAACTCAAGCTGGGCATGGTGTTTCACTTCACTCCTTTAATCCTAGTTTCTTGGGACGCTAAAGCCAGAGGATCTCAAGTTCATGGTCAGCCTGGAAAATTAAATGAGATGCTAGCACAAAAATAAAAATAAAACAGAGCTGGAGAGATACTTCAGTGGTAGAGTGTTTACCTAGGTAGCACATGGGCCTGAAAAAATAAATAAATAAAAGAAAGAAAGAGTTGTTAGGAAGACTTACCAGTAGGGTTGCAAAGAGGCACATGTAAAACACAAGTATTCAGTATATGACAATGAAACAGAATGGGCTTATAATAAGACATCAACTAAGTGGCACTTGATCATGTCCTTATTCTCAAAACCCAAGAGCCTTAGACATAAACACTTTATACAGCTTTGCTGTTGTATGACTTTAATGACCTGATACCTATTTAACTACTTTAAACTCAGGATGATTTAAGTATCAAAACAGACATACTTCATTTCTCTTTGTGATACTAATTATCACCCAAAATATCTGTTCTTCACTGACATAATAATTGAAATTGTACCTAGGCACATGGCCACCAAGTTACAGAGTACATTTCCTAGCTTCCCTGAGGCCAGGTATGATCATGTGACAGCTAAATGAAATTTCCTAGCTTCCCTGAGGCCAGGTATGATCATGTGACAGCCAAACGAAATGTACATGGAAGTGATGCATGCAGGTTAGGGTCAAGCTCTTAAATGACAGTGTATGTCTTCCTTCTGTTCCTCTTCTGCTTCCTGAACAAGGAGTCATCTGGAACCACAAGGATAAAGCAAACACCTCAGAGATGATGGAACAGCAAAACAAGAGGCATCTTGGTTCCTTTCCTGAATGTCACATTAGACTTGAATTATTATACAAACAAGGAATTAAACTTCTATTTTGTTTATGCTACTATTAATGAGTCTCTTTTATAACAACTGAACCCATATCCTATCTACTACCCTCTTTTCCTACTGTATTAGTTGAAAATGTAGATGTCTGGGGACTAAAACACAAACGTATGGTGTACCTGATTTTATGATGCATATTATAAATTATGCTTTTACACACTAAGTGTTTGCCCTTGTGTTCAGGCTCCAAAACTAGCATGCTGAGGATTAGGTAGAAGGTCATCAGAGAAAAATCATTCTTGCCAGTGACTTGTGCTGCTTAGATTAGATTAAACTGTGTGTTCTTTGAGATAGGAGACTCGCTCTTGAGTGTTGTGAGTACTAGAATTATGGGCTGGCAACACCGCTACCAACTTGTTTTTGTATGTACAAAAATAGTTAAATATTAGCAATGTCATTTCAATTTAGCAGAACTGATTCTAGATTTCACAGATGGTGGAGCCTAAGAATTTATAAATGGTAAGGCAGTTAGTAATTCAGTAATTGTACTTTTTTTTTGGCCAGTCTTAAGTTTGAACTCAGGGCCTGGGCACTGAGCTTCTTTGGCTCAAGGCTAGTATTCTACTACTTGAGCCACAGTGCCACTTCTGGCTTTTTCTGTTTATGTGGTACTGAGGAATCGAACCCAGGGCTTCATGTATGCTAGGCAAGCACTCAACCACTAAGCCACATTCCCAGCTCCAGTATTGTACTTTCTAAAGGACCTTCTTAAAAGCTGAATTCCCACAGGGAGATAGGTAAGGGGAGAGGAGGGGGGAGAGGAGGGAGAATTATATAGATACATAATTATAGCAATACTGGGGATCAAACCTAGGGTATTGAGCATGCTAAGTAGCACTGTACTACTGAACTATATCCTCACCCCTTATTTTATTTTATTTTTTGTCGGTTGTAGGGCTTGAACTCTGGACTTGGGTGCTGTCCCTATACTCTTCAGCTCAAGGCGAGTGCTTTACCACTTGAGCCACAGCATTACCTCTGGTTTTCTAGTGGTTTATTGGAGATAAGAGTCTCATGGGCTGCCTTTGAACTGTGATCTTCAGATCTCATCTTCCTGAGTAGCTAGGATTACAGGTGTGAGCCACCAGAGCCCAGATCTCACTCCTTATTTTTAATGAGCCAGGGTCTCTTTATGTAGTTCAGCTTGGCATTGAACTTACTATGCAGATAATGGCCTTGAACTTTCAATCTTATTGCCCCTGACTCCCAATTGCTGCGATTATAGGTGTGTGCCACTATGCCCAGCTTATTTATAACTATAATAAAACAGTAAAATAAAATAGAAAAACCAACCGTATGAGGACAGTTAACTATTGCTTTGAGAACTGTAAAATTTTGAGAAGAGAAAAAAAATCAGATAAACTTATGACTTAAACCCATGGATATGAGGTACAAGGTCATGCTCTTTACAGGCCTCACTGTGTTCCATAATATTGCATATTAAGTCATTTTTTTTCCTGTCCCCTTCTCGGTATGACAGTATGATGTTGTGCCAGATAGCTGTCTCCTGGCTTAAATGTCACAGGCCCAAAAGTGTTAGGGAGGCTGACTCTCTTGCCCTTGATCCCAAATTCTCAGGAAAGAAACTAAATGGTCAATGTTCCATTCAAAATATATTTACTTGTCCCTATGCCTAGACTTAAGGGAAGATAATGACCCCTCCCAAGAATGAAAGGCCAGAGGTATGGGAGAAACAAAATGGTGTTGAGGCTTGAGTCTCGGTGTTTGTTTTTTTCTTTTTCTTTTCTTTTCTTTTTTTTTGGTGGTCATGGGGCTTGAACTCAGAGCCAAGGCATGCTGTTCCTGACCTCTTTTGCTAGAGGCAAGCTCTCTATCACTTTGGGCCACGTCACCACTTCTGGTTTTTGTTTTTTCTGTGTGGTTAATTGGAGATAAGAGTCTCACAGGGACTTTTCTGCCCAGGCTGGCTTTAAACTGCAATCCTCAGATCTCAGACTCCTGAATAGCTAGGATTACTGGCATGAGCTGCTGGTGCTTAGTTCAACTTGGTGTTTTTAAGGCATCAATCTAATGACTCCTTCGCTTTATGGAAGAAACATTCCAGAAATACTGATAATAGTCTAGGTTAGTGTTTTCTAAATGCAATGTATGAGTAATCTGTGTCTGAATTCCTTCAGGTGTTTCCTACTGAATCAGAAACCCTAGGGCCCAGGAACCTGTGCTTTATTCTATTTATGGACTACTCGGGCTTGAACTCATGGCCTAGAGCTCTTGATTGGCCTTCGCCGTTGGAGACTGGCACTTTACCACTTGATCACACCTCCACTCCAAGCATTTTTTTTTCCTGGTCAATTGGAGAAAAGAGTTCCAAGGACTTTTCTGTCTGGACTGTCTTCAAACTATGATCCTTAGATCTCAGCCTCCTGAGTAACTAGGATTACAGGTGTGAGCTACAAATGCCTGACTAGGAACCTGCATTTTAAACGAGCTCTCTATTCACACTGAATATTTACTCTGTTCTAGGATTGTTAGGTGCTGGAACTCAAGACAGAACAAGCAGGCGTGGTGGTCCCGTGGCTCCAGGCATGTTTGAGCTGTCGGGGAGACTGCTGAGTTTAATTGCTGACACTGGGGAAGCGAGCTGATGTTAATGAAGTGGTGGGATAAGAGCGCGATTCCGCAGCAGGCGCACCTAGCTCAGACTGAAGAGACTCCGGGCAGCCTTACCGAAAGGGTGCGGCCGCTGAAGTCTGAAGGTGGGGTCCTGAAGCTCGGGAGCAGAATCTGCACCGCGTAGGACACGGGAGTTGTCAGTCCTGAAAAGAAGGTGCAGACTTCGCGGTGCGCAATGGCCGGGGGTGGAGGATGGGAGGGTGTGGGGAGCTGTGCAGTGACAGCGGGGCAGAGGTCGGCCCGACAGCATCGGTGCCCGCCGCCGCCGCCGGGCGTTTCTGCTCTTCGTAGCCGCCTCGGGAAGACCCTAGGCGGAGCCGAGCGTCCACTCACTCACCTCGAGAGGTCGCGCAGCTCCGGCCCCGGGCGGGGCGGGGCGGGGGCGGAGCTACGCAGCGGGGCGGGACGGGGCGGGGCGGGGGCGGAGCTACGCAGCGGGGAGGGACGGGACGGAGCGGGACGGGGCGGGGCGGGGCGAGGCGGGCAGGCCTCCACTCGCTCCGGACGTCCCCGCACTGCCGGAAGACTGCGCGCGCTACGCTCCCGTCCTGCGTGATGACGTTAGCGCGCCCGCGCCAGCCGAGGGAGGAGTGGAAGCTGTGGGCTCTGAGGCGCCGGGGTTCGGGTAACCCAGGTTGGGATAGGGAGAGGGAGGGGCGGAGCGGGGAGCCCCTCGGATGCGGTGCTGCTGTGGGGAGCTGGCGCAGGAGCCCTCGGTCAGCTCAGCTCGCTTCTTGTCTCCCATCAGACGCCTCTGGGCCCGGCGATGGAGTTTCCAGACCTCGGGGCTCACTGTTCGGAGCCGAGCTGTCAGCGCTTAGGTGAGGGGCGGGGCGTGCGAGGGGCGGAGAGGGGCCAGGGACTGGAGGGGCCGGGCGTCCGGGGGCGGGGACGAGCCGGGACGCTGGGAGGGTGGGCCCTCGAGCTGGAGCTACTGGAGAAGGGCGGGGCTCAAAGTTGTGGGTGGTGGCTTGGGGCGTGGCCAAGGAGAGTGGTGGAGAAGTGGGGTGTGGTGTGTTGTGAACCTGGTGGTCTGTTTCCCATGCACGTGGTACACCCAGTCCTTTTGACCTGCAATGCGACCCACTCCCTGCAGATTTTCTGCCGCTCAAGTGTGATGCATGTTCTGGCATCTTCTGCGCAGACCATGTGGCCTACGCCCAACACCACTGTGGATCTGCCTACCAAAAGGTGAGGGGGCGATGGGTTCATGAAGAATCCCCCAAATCTGTGTTTCACATTTTCTCATCCATTATGGTCTTCTGAGGTTCCATGCTGGGGAACATTGTATTTTCTTGTGCGTTTGTGAGAGCTGCATCCAGTTTCTTTCTGGACCCGAGATTTGTTGGCCTGGGAGCAGGGCACAAATTGACTCCTGCTCCTTGACTATAGGATATCCAAGTACCAGTCTGCCCCCTCTGTAATGTGCCTGTGCCTGTGGCAAGAGGGGAGCCCCCTGACCGGGCTGTGGGAGAGCACATTGACAGAGACTGTCGATCTGATCCAGCACAGCAAAAACGCAAGGCAAGTGATGGAGGAGGTTGCCATAAGCTAGTGCAACTGTGGGTGCTGGAAACCTAAACAGCTGTCTCCAGCAATGGAGCTGGATAAGGGCTTAGAGTCTCATAAACAAACCTTTCCACACTTCACTTCAGATCTTCACCAATAAGTGTGAACGTTCTGGCTGCCGGCAACGAGAGATGATGAGACTGACTTGTGATCGCTGTGGCAGAAACTTCTGCATCAAGCACCGTCACCCACTGGATCATGATTGTTCTGGGGAAGGGCACTCAACCAGCCGGGCAGGGTAATTGACACCAGGTCCTGCTTACTTGTCTTGCTTCATCCTTGGTCTTTGAGCTTCAAGTGGATGTTTTCTCAGACTTGCTTGAAGGAAGGCCCCTCCTGACTTCTTGGGTAAGGAATGTTCTTGGAGGCATTACAAGAATGTCTTGTCTTCCCTACAGACTTGCTGCTATCTCCAGAGCACAAGGTCTGACATCTACAACCACTGTTCCTAGCCCAAGTCAGACCTTGCCTTCTTCCACTTCTCCCAGCAGGTAAGCCTGCATATTTCTCCCCCTTTTTTCTCCCTTTACTTCTCTGACCTTAGCCTGTTGTTGAATATCTGCCATAGAACCACAACCCAGTCTCCATCCCGGACAGCCCCTCCAGTGATTGCTTTGCAGAATGGCTTGGTGAGTTGGGCAGAGATTGGATGGACAGAGGAAACCCAGGCAGAGTAAAGTCCAAGGAAACTGGCCTTCTTTTCTCCTTTTGCAGAGTGAGGATGAGGCTCTGCAGCGTGCCCTGGAACTATCTCTGGCAGAGACCAAACCCCAGGTTCCAAGGTACTTATTGGGGGGGGGGGGGGGGGAAGAGGACAAGAGGATAGGATGTAAAGGCCCAGTTTGGAAGGAAGTAGGTAAGACCACTGGGGCCTACTGCAAAATAGTAGCTAGAAACTAGGACTCAAGATTAAGATGAACTATTTCATCTTTGACAAATTCTTTAACCCATAGGCCCATAATTTCTTCTGTTCAATAGAGGTAATACTAACACCCATTTTAGAAGAGGCGCTGAGAAGACTGAGTTTATAGCCAGTGTTGCTGAACACTCATGATGCCTAACAGATCAGATGCTCAAATCTTAGCTGTCATCCAATTTAAGGTGTTCCTCCTTTCTCAGTTCTCAGGAGGAAGAAGACTTGGCTTTAGCACAAGCTCTGTCAGCCAGTGAGGCAGAATACCAACAGCAGCAGGTATGTGGTTGGTGGGTAAGGACAGGGTCTGCGCTGGCAAGGAATAAGAAGTTGGTGGCATCGTTTCTTCGAAGTGATGGAGAACATTGGGATGATGGTTATCTTTTTCCTTCCAGTGTGACCCTAGCACATGCTGAGCTCTGAAATGAGAGCTGTCCTCTTTTCCTTGACTTTATGCCATCTCCTCCTCTTTCCCCTCTCCTTATTCCAGGCGCAGAGCCGCAGCTCGAAGCCGTCCAACTGCAGCCTGTGCTAGGGTCATGGGCTTGGGGAGGAGGCTCAGCTGAGGACTGTGGCCCTCACATCTCCAGGGTACACAGGACGAGGAGGTGCAGAGCAGCCTGGAGTGCAGAGGCATGCAGGAGTGAGGTGGAGGCCGCTCCAGGGAGCATCAGGAGAAAGCTTGCCAAGCTGAGACTATGAAAGGCCCTGCTAGCTCTCCAGCAGCTGGGAGCGTGGCTGTGAAGCGTTCATTGACTGGGCCCTCAGTTGGTGCTGGCTAGGACTCCTTCCTAGCCCCTGCGTCATGCCATCCCTTTACCCTTGTGCTGCCACAGGTAGCATACAGGGAGAGGCCTGGAAAGAATAAAGATCTCAATAGTATGATGTGTGAGTAGTGTGTCTCTCCAGCTTCAAACAGAATTCTCTGTGTGTGTTGTTCCTGGGGCTTGCACTCAGGGCATGGTTGCTGTTACTGAGCTTTCGGACTAAAGGCTAGTGCTCTACCATTTAAGCCACAGCTCCATTTCCAGCTTTCTTGATGATTAACCGGAGATATGAGTCTCACAGGCTTTCTGGGTTGGCTTCAAACTGCCATTCTCAGCTGTCAGCCTCCTGAGTAAGTAGGACAGCATAAGCCACTAGTACCCAGCTCAAACAGAATTCTTATCAAGCATGTTCACATGACTTAACGTCTCCTTGCAGTTCCCCACATGACCAAGCCATCGTCACCCTTGAACAGTCCACTTTTATTTCCCCAAAGTGCTTTTCTGAAAGGTCCCTTTCCCTTGTCACAGCTAGCACCAAACCCCTAGAGGAGGATGAAATAGGCCAAGGGAAATGGACACATCTTATTCCCCTGAGTTAGTCTTTGGGAGGGAAGAGGCAACAACTTCTGTCACTGTGTCTTGGTCTGGGGCTTGGTGTCTTCAGAAACTTCCTGTCCCTGCTGTTGCAGCTGCCACATGTTGGCGTACACTCCACCTCGAGACAACAGAGCCTCATGCCTGGGGGTGAAGAGACAAGTCAAAGTCCCACCCTTCAGTTTCACTCCATCAGCCTATAGAGAGAGGAGGGGAAGAGCAAGGAAGACCCCTTCCAAAGCCCCTGCCCAGCTTTTCCTCACCGTCCTCTCTCCACGATACAGCCATCCTTGATGACAAGAATCTGGTCAGCATTAACCACAGTTGAGAGCCTGAGAAGTAGAGATCAGTAACTCTCTATCCTACCAGAAATGGCCCATGCTAGCCACACTGGTCCTGTAGGTCTCTACCTGTGTGCCACCACAATGGTGGTGCGGTTGGCGCAGACTTTGGCCAGCGAAGCCTGGATGGCCCGCTCAGTAGATGTGTCCAGCGCTGATGTCGCCTACAGAGAAGGTCTGGGTAAAATACTTCCTCAAAGGGAGGTGGAGGCTTCAGGAATACAGCACAGGCTTGAGAGCTACACAGACTGATGAGAAAAACTTCCCAGAAAGAGTGGCTTGGGCATAGACAGAGGCAGCAGGGGGCAGCTGTCAAGACCTTACCTCATCCAGCAGAACGATGTCTGGAGCCTTGAGAATTGTGCGGGCAATGGCTACTCGCTGCTTCTCCCCGCCGCTTAGCTTCAGTCCCCTCTCGCCCACCTGTGTCTCATACCCTGTGGAAATAACCCACCTCCCTCAAGTCAAATATAAATAAACTTGGTTTGTTTATATTGAAGGGATGGAGCAGAAGCCACAGGGTTAAAATGACTGTACACCAGGCGAAGGAGGGGACTGTACAGACGAACCTCACCTTCAGGGAAGGACATGATAGCATCATGGATGCCTGCAGCCTGAGCAGCAGCCTCTACCTCAGTGTTGTCAGCTGTGACACGGCCATAGCGGATGTTGTTGGCAATGGTATCATTGAAGAGGACAGTGTCCTGGGGCACCACTCCAATGTGAGACCGGAGAGAGATCTGGGTCACCTGGAGCCAGAAGATAATACACTCAGCCCTGTGAGATTCTCCCAGGCCTGGAAGCTAAGATGAGCTAGCCAGAAGCACACAGGGTAAGCAGCTCAGGGTAGGAATCTGCCATCACCACTGTACATCCTAGCGGAGTGGGAAAATCACTCAGCCTCTCCTGAATCTCTGCTCCCTATCCTCCAACCATAAAAATAATCATGCATTCAAGCAACACATAAAATTAAACATTTTCTTTGCCTACTTCATGGACTGCTGCAAAAGATCTTGCCAGATGCTGGTAGCTCATATCTGTAATCCTAGCTACTCCATATGCTGAGGTCTGAGGATAAAGGTTTGAAGCCAGCCTGGACAGTAAAGTCCATGCAAGTCTTACCTCCAAATAATTGCCACAAAGCCAGAAGTGGCTCAAGTGGTAGAGCACTAACCTTGAGTGAAAAAGCTCAGGGATAATGCATAGGCTCTGAATTCAAGCTCTAGGACCCACACACACACCCACACACCCACCCACACACACACACATACAGAGATCATGTCTTGAATGACACTACACACATCATACTCATGACTACCTTCTGAGTGAAATTAGCCAAATTATGGTAGGAAGACCCTAGTTTTCTGCAGGGTGACATTTCTCTGGATATCCAACCCGTTCTTCCATTTGGAGACAATTAAATTAGTCTTTTCCCCAGAAACCTTACCTGTGAGATGTCTTGCCCATCTATTCGGATACTGCCAGAGTTTATGTCATAGAAGCGAAACAGCAAGCGCAAAATTGTGCTCTTTCCTGCCCCAGATGGGCCCACCTGTTATATTGGAAAAAAATGGGAAAACTCTCAGACTGGCTTCTTTTTGGTGTAAAGCAGGGACTGGAGATTGAACTCAAGGCCTTGAACATGCTAAGCAAGCACTTTCACTTGAGCCACACCCCTAATCCTTTTGCTTTTAGCTTTTCAAATACAGTGTCACAATAACATTGTCAAGGCTAGTCTCTAACTGCAGTCCTCCTTGCTTCTGCTCTTCCTGCGTAGCTGCGATTATAGATTTGTGCTACCACATACCCTGATAGTTCTTTTCCAAAATGTCATTAACAGCATATCACATTCAATTGTTTCTTGTCATAACAGGGTTCTGACTCTCCAGCTTTGGTCATAAGCCAACATAGGATCTGAACAAGAGAAGCTTGAGAACTAAGTGTAAGCCAAGTGGCTGGGTCTCCTCACCAGGGCCAGAGTCTGTCCAGGCATCACTGTGAAGGAAACATCCTGCAAAGTCTCCCGCCTACAAAGAACAGTGAGTAGGGTTAAGAGGCCGCTCCCATTACCCAAACTACCACTGGGCCCGCCCCTCCCCAATCCTCCCCCGACTCTTTCCAAAGTGGTGGGCTGAAAAGCTAGGGTTCCGAATAGTATGAGGGACAAAAAGGTAGTATGTAAAAGGACAAGGGGAAAGGAAAGGGAAAGGCTGACCCATCAGCATAGCCGAAGTGCACATTTTCAAACTCAATCCGGCCTTTCTGAAAGTGAAGGGGCCCTGCTCCAGGAATGTCCTTCACCTGGGAAAACACAGTACTTGTAGCTGTTACTGTCCTGGAATTCTCCAGACAAAAGAAAGAACCCCCTGACCCAGGCTCCTTTCTCATCACTCACTTCTGTCTCCTCTTTCAGCAAGTCAAACATGTTCTCCATGTCAATGAAGTTGGTCTGAATCATCCTGCAATAAGAGTGAAAGTTGGGGCGCCACGGAGGCCCTAGGAAATAACAATGCACCCTGAACAGGTGAAGGTTAGAGATCAGGTTACCTGTAGTAGGTGCCAAACCAGTTGAGAGGCATGTACAGTTGAATGATGTAAGTGCCAAAAAGCACAAAGTCCCCGACCTGTGGAGACCCAGGGAAGCAGATGCATCATGGGGGCTTGTGGGCTCTTCTGCTTGCCTACTCACTTACCTTTCAAAAGTCTGATGGTTCACAGGCCCCCAGGCCTCACTTCCCTGTCCCTCACCCTTTCTTCCATGATGCTGCCTCACCTGTAGCTTTTTCTCACTGACAAAGTATGCACAAAGCAGGGAGCCAGCGAGAAGCCCAAGTCCAATCACCAAGTTCTGGGTCTGGTTCAGTAAAACCAGTGAAGCACTTGACTTCCACTCCAAACTCTAAAGGCAGGGTGTGGGAGAGAGAAATATCCCATTTGCACCAACCATCACCAAATCCCACCTTGACTTTCCTCCTCTCAACCAGGCAATGCCACAGGCCCAGCTATCTTAGATCATATTCCGGCATCCTCACCTGATATTTGATGATGGCCTCTTGATAGCGCTCCACTTCATAACTCTCAGCATTGTAGTATTTCACCTGATGGATTCAAACACAGCACATGGCTTCCAGATCATTCCCTCCAGATTTCTGATCCCCCTGCTTCCTGATTTCAAGTATCAGCACCCTCCTCCCCACCAGTATGATGTCTCAACCACATTCTCCCCATCTTGCCTCCCACCACTGCCTCAGAGGCTTATGTTACTGTTTCAAAGTTTAGCAGAGAGTCCACTGCTCGCGCCCGGGTGGCGTTCTCCTGTGTGTTCATAGCACGGCGAAACTTGGTTCTCCACTCAGTGACCACAATGGTCAGGACTGGAGGGTGACAAGAGGGGAGGGAGGATAAGACGTCATGCCTAACAGCAAAGACCACTTTGGATACTAAACCTGTGCTGGAGTCCAAGGACCCAGAAGGACAGCTTCAAGCTTATCGAGGAAAGGAGCTATATATAAGAAATCTATGAAAACTGAAAAAGCCTCAGGTGTGGATAGCCCTGAACTGTGAACAAATGAAGACAAGTTGCATCTTGCTATGCAAATGAAGTTTCTTCTTGACCGGTCGGTGACCATAATGGGGACCTAATATGAAAAGGTGTCCTTCCTTGGCCTTCATCTAGCTTAAGCTAAGGTGTCAAAGGAAAAGACTCACCAAGCCAAGAGCAGATAAAGACTTAGAAAGTTCACCAACCCTCAGCCTCCTGAAGATTATTCAGCTGAGCTTGGGCAGGGTTCACTTAATTCAGGAAGATGTCACAAGGCAACACTCACTGAGATAGAGACTCATGCACAGGAACACTATGAGGCCAAACCAGGCATTGAAGAACATGCTGAAGTAGATGATGCCAATGATGATGTCAGCCAGTGTGGGGATGATGTTGAATACCAGGTAGCTAGGAGGGTAATCAAGCAACAAAAGAAGGTTTGGGGGCTTAGACCCAGCAACCTTACCTTTAGGAGTGTCAGTGTAATGTTTCATTTATAACAGCAACAGGATGGAATCAATCTAAATGCCCCTCAAGAAGTAGATGGCTAAGTAAAACCATAACATGGCCAAACTACAGATGGTTTAGAAAATACTTCCACAGTACTATATTAATTCTTTAAGTTTGCACAGATAAAAAGTACAAATAGTCCAGGTGTTGGTGGCTCACACCTGTAGCTACTCAGAAGACTGAGATATGAGGATCATGGTTCAAAGCCAGCCCAGGCAGGAAAGTGTGATATTCTTATGTCCAATAAATCACCAAAAAAAACCTGTAAATAGAACTGTAGCTCAAGTGGTAGAATGCTAGCTTTGAGCAAAAAAGATATGCCCAGGCTTTGAGGTCAAGCTCCATGAATGGCACACACAAAATTACAAGGTCTGCCTGTGTCCAGCATTCTGAACACAGTGCAAAACTCTGGAAAGTGTTCAAGACCATTTGTTGTCTATATTATCTGAGTAATTATGACAGCATTATACATCACTTCTATAATTTACAAAAAACTAAGTAATCATAACCAGAGGGGCTATGTCTCTAGCTGGCTCTATTTTCCTTATGACAGTTCTATCCCCGGTTACTGCACATTCCCCCTCCCTCCCCCCCCCCCCCCCCCCCCGCCCATGCCCACATGCACATGCCCTTTGCACTGGAGTGGCACCTGAGCAGCCCTGTGACACTAGATGTGCCCCGATCCACAATCCGCAGCACCTCCCCTGTTCGGCGGCCCAGATGCCAGCGTAGTGAGAGCTCATGCAGGTGGGTGAAGAGACGCAGCTCCACCTGCCGAGATGTGAACTGCTGCACCCGGATCCACAGGAATGTGCGTAGGTTGCTCACAAAGCCTGGGGAAGCCATAGGAACCTCAGTAGGGCTTGGAGGCTAAGGGACATCAGCCCAATACCAAGATGCTAAAGGTCTGAGGGCACAGAGGGGCCTGGGGAAGGAATGTTCAAAAGAGCACCATAATGGGGGAATTCCTAGGGGAAAGCTGATGCCAGTCAGGGTGAAGACAGAGTTCCTTGTACCTGTACTGCCAGTGCCACCCCCCTGGAGGAACTTGAGGAAGACATAGATGGTAACAGTCCAGGCCAGGGAGCTCCAAGGGGCCTGCCCAGTCAACAAGTTCACTGCGGAGAAAAAGTCAAGATTCACTTCCAACACTCTCTTCAAACAAAATTGCCCCAGGAACCAGCCATAGCCTCTGACTATCCAACCCTAATTCTATTCCACCTCCTAAGGTAATAGCTACCCCAGCCACCAAGCCAATGAAGAACCAGCAGGCTGAGTTATATTCCTCTCCCTCACCAATGTCCCTATAGAAGATGGGAACCAACACGTTGAGCGCTCTGTCCAACCCCATGAGCCCCAGGCAGATAAGCACAACAAGTTGCAGAGCTAGACTTCTCCGAGGCCACAGATAGCCACTTAGTAGGCGGAGCTTCCTGCCAAGATCTCGCCATGTAGACCGCTGCTGTGTTGAACCATCCTAGGATGATGACACACACACAAAGGAAGTAAGTTCAGACACCAAAAGCAAGTACACTGCTAGCCAAGAAACTTCCAGGCAAGAACATAAGGGGTGGGTTATAGCTCCCAGATATCTGAAGTCCATGAGTGATTCCCCAGTGGAGTCAAAAAAGCCGTGGGGTAGGGGAGGGGACTGGGAATGTGGCTTAGTGGTAGAATGCTTGCCTAGCATGCTTGAAGCCCTGGGTTCGATTCCTCAGTACCACATACACAGTGGCTCAAGTGGTAGAGTACTAGCCTTGAGCAAAAAGAAGCTCAGGGACAGTGCTCAGGGCCTGAGTTCAAGCCCCAGGACTGGCAAAAAAAAGCCATGGGGTTACAACTAATTGAATTAATTGATTGTGAGGAGATGGAATAATGGCAATGATTCAAGTTAAAATAGACCTCAGGATTCAAAGAAGGTTAGGGTATAGTTGAATGATAGACTGAGTGGTAGAGCACAGGTTTAATAGTTCAGGAGGTCCTGGCTTTGGTCTCCATTACAAAAAAACCCAAAAACCAAAAAACAACAACGACAAAAAAACCCCACCACAAAGAAAAAATAATAATCCTAGGATTCAGAAAATGAGGTGTACCTGGTTCCCTTCTACACTTTGGTCCTCTTCATGAACCTGTAAGGTGTAAGACTGGGGACCAAGTCCCGGGGCCCAAAGCCCCAGGACAAAAAGTCCTCCAGAAAGGAGGTATCGAAGCACCCACAGGCCAAACTGAACCTACAATGAAACACGTACAGAAGGTATGATCAAAGGCCGAAACCCTATTGTATTATTGCTAACATCCAGGTCTTCCTCAGACGCCCAGCATTTAACAAGGAAAAAAAAAAACCAAACCCCAAACCCACAGTGACTCAGCACAGACACGCCCCACCAACAGGCTATCAGTTCCCAGCCAGAACCAGACACTCCCGTCTTGTCCCCAGTCATCCCAAGCGCCCCAGCTCCAGACACTCAGCACTGCCACCCATGCTTCCCCTCCTCCCCTGCGGGCCCTCACCTGCTGGCCCAGGTCTGCCCTGGCCCACCACCACTGTGGGCTGTTCCAAGACACCAGGGTCAAGTTTTCCGCTGCAAATGCCACAGTCCAGAGGAGCAGGAGACCCGGGCTGTGTCTGGACTTGATCCAGACACCCATCGCCAGACTCTGCCGTGCCTGGCTCCGTTCCATCACGAGCAGCCACAGGCCACAGGCGTTAGCCAGACTCCCCAGCACAGAGGCCAGCAATAGGTAGCCAGGCAGCGGGGCCCCCCGGGCGGTGCCCATCCGGCCAGCCAAGCTGGCCAAGGGCAATGCCACCTGAAGCGTGGCCAGAAGCAGCTGCAGCACGTAAGGAGCGACACGAGGACCGGCAGCCCAGAACAGCGCGTCGGGGCCGGACGATCGCTCCGGACGCTTGCAGGGAAGAGCCAGCACCAAGGCCAGAGTCCCCAGGGTCATCAGGGTCGAGGGCACGAGCGTGAAGAAGAAGCAGGGACTCAAGCCATTCTGCTCCCAGGCCGGACCCAGGGGTCCCTCGGCTTCGCAGTAGTTGCCCACAGTCACCATGGCGATGTGTGGATGCTGGCCGAGCCTGAGGGCACTGCGGGGCCGGAAAGCGGGACTGGCCGCTCAGGGAGGGCCACGGATGCCCGGGTGTTTGGGGTCATGGAACCACCCAGCGCTAAGTCGCGGGGGGTCGCGGAGAGACGCACGTGGATCCTGACACACCGCCCACTCGTTTCGCGCACGCGCCGCCACCACGCACTCACGCAGGGCACGTACGCCGTCTCCGCGCGTCTCACTCGCTGCGCGGGACCCTCCGGTTAAGGGCTGGAGCGCAGGAATGTTGAGCTTAGGATTCGCACGCCCTCTATGGGAGGGATCCCGCCTGAGCCACGCCCCTTACGTTATCCAGGGTCCCTATTGGCTAAGTGTCTCTACGGGGCGGGGAGAATTGGGCACAGAACTAGTGCAAAATAAGGGGCTGAGTTGGCTTGGTCCGGAGCTCAGGGCGGGAAATGTAATCTCAGGTCCAGTTGGAGACCTCGACCTCTGCAGAGTGAAGGGTTGCAATTATCCCTTCCTTTTATTTTAATTTTACTTTTATGTCTTTTGTCGGACATGGGATTTGAACTCTGTCCCTCAGCAGTACAACTCAAGGCTAGCATTCTACCACCACGCTTGGCTTATTTTCATTTTTTAATTCCAGTGCTGTGGTTCGAACTTAAGGCATAATGCACGCTAGGCAAACCACTGAGCTACATCTCCAGCAACTTGGAAAAGTTTTGTTTTTTAGTTAACCAGCTACCTCTCTATACATACCACAGATCATAGTCACTTGCTTCCAGATGCCAGCCCCAGTATCTGGGAATCTGAAGAAAATCACACATACTCTATTTTTCTATTGATCCCGAAACCCTAGCTGCATAAGACAAGCCACGACCTGGTCAAAGTCCCTTCTTTATTCAGGGTTATCAAGCTGTACATGGTCCCCACCCCGGCCCACTGTGAGGTAGGGCAACAGAGTTCACCACCCTTCCTCAGCAGCAGATCAGAGCTGGGTAAAGGGGTGGGGCAGAGGGAAGGAGCTGAGTCCCAGCATGCAATGCGGCAGCCTATTGAGAGACCATCACCCCCTCTGTCTTCTAGGGGACAGTGGGATGCAGGCTAGAACTCTTGCTGGGATGTAGACAGTTGAGGTCACACTCCAACCCTGTCAGTCTCATGTGGGATGGGTATAATAAGCAGCAAAGGGGGCCCAGGAAGACCTCAATCTCCCAAGGGCCCATCCTAAAAATTGGAGACATAGCAAAGAATGTTCATCCTATTCCTGCAATTTAGAAACTTTCCTTCTTTAGTGTCAAAAGATAGCATAAGGGTGGCTGGGAATTAGGGTTTCTACCCTAAAGCAAAAGCCAAGCCAAGGGGAAGCAAGTCAACAGAATGGGAGCAAGCAGCACACACATGCCAGTGGTGTGCAGGGAGAAGAGAGGTGAGCTGGCTGCAGCACTGGGCGAGAGCTAGGGGTGAGGTAAGGGCCACAGCCTGAGCTGCTCATTTATTCTGGGTAAAGGGGCAGGTTGCAGGGGTTGAGGGTCCAGGCCCAATCTCCCCACTCCACAGTTGGCACAGGTTCTCCCTGCTTGGCAGCTTCTGTGGTTGGCAGCCCTCTGGAGTCTTGCAGGGGGTCAGTGCAAAGGTGGCAGTCTGGAACCGAGCTGGGGACCAGTTTCTAGCACCACACTCTGAGCCAAGGGGGTTCTGGGATGAGGCTAGAGTTTTGTGTGCCCCTGGTTCCTAGACCTCAACTTCTTCTGGGGCTGTGGCAAGCCCAGTGTTGGCACCTCCCTTGGCCAGGCATGAACACACAAACACCATACACGTGGAGCCAGGCAACACTCAAGAGGAGCCTTCCCATGGTGGATGGATGGGATGGCAGGGCAGCCATGGCCTCCATCCTGGGCGTGGGGATGCTCTTCAGCTTTGTCTATACCTGTGAAGAGAAAATGGTGGGGAGAGTGCTAGAGGGGTGAAATTGATTGGAATATATTATATACATCTGTGGAAATGTAAATAAAATTTCCTCTGTATAACTAATGTACACTAATAAGGTAGGACTGAAGGAAGGAAAAAAGGAAGGAAAGAAAAAAGAAAAGGTTTGTAATGGGAGATATCTGTCCCATGGGAGCCTAGAAAAAGGGAACCTTGATTCTTGGGGAGGTAAGCAAAGGAAAAACCAACCCCTGGTCTTCAGAACAACTGAGGAAGAAAGGGAGTATATTTCGGAGAAAATGCACAGGCTGGGAGTTACCTCCCTTCACCTGGAAAGCTGTCACTTTAGACTGGAAATTGCTTCTTCTGCTAGTTGTTCTTGGACCTTGAAACCCTTACCTTATGCACCTGAGGGGGAAGCTCATCCTCTGAGCCTTCCTCGGGCACAGGCTCAGGGTGCCTTGATGCTGGCTGCCCATCTTCAGCCCATCCTCCTAGGGGCAGCCGGGAGAAATGAGAGGGAGCTCGGGGTATTGTGCCAGGATCTAGGAACATAAACAGGAATGAGAACTGTTTGGGGACTGTTTGGGGGTTTAGTTTTCTCAGGCTCCATCCTTCTGACTTTTTTCTTCTTAAAAAATAAACACCCTTTTGTGCTGGGCGCTAGTGGTTCATGGCTAAAATCCTAGTTGCTCAGGAGGCTGAGATCTAAGAATCAAGATTCTAACCCAGCCTAGGAAAATGAACCTGCAAGGTTCTTATTTACAATTAGCCAGCAAAAACAAACAGAAGTGGAGGTACGGCTCAAGTGGTAGAGGCCAGCCATTTGTAAGGGAAAGGGATGGCACAAAGAAGGGAGAGGCTTGGAGTTCAAGCCCTAGTAAAGGAACAACAATAAAATAACCCCCCACCCTTTCAACTAGGTACCAGTGGCTCCAGCCTGTAATCCTAGCTACTTGGAAGGATAAACTTAGGAGGATCAAGCTTCAATAGCATATGCTGTCCTAAGCTTCCTAGAAGACTGAGATTGGGAAGATTGTGACTCCAGGCCAGCTTGGCCAGAAAAGTCCTCAAGACTCCATCTTTAAGGTAAGTTGTTGGACATGGTAGTGTGCTTCTGTCATCCCAGCTAGAATAGGAAGCCTAAAACAGGTAGAACATAGTCCAGGCACACACCTGGGCAAGAAGCAAGACTCTACCTCAAAAGTAACCAGTGCCAAAAAGGGCTGGAGGACCAGGCGCCTGTAGCTCATGCCTATTATCCTAGCTACTCAGGAGGCTGAGATCTGAGGATCATGGTCAAAGCTAGCCTGGGCAGAAAAGTCCATGAGACTCTTGATCTTCAGTTAACCACCAGAAAACCCAAAGTGGTGCTGTGGCTCAAGTGGTAGAGTGCTAGCCTTGAGCTGAAGAGCTCAGGGACAGCACCCAGGCCCAAAGTTCAAGTCCCCTGACTGAAAAGAAAAAAGGGTGGGGGGGCCGGGGCTGGAGGGCTGGGATGTGTCTCAACAATAGAATGACTGGCAAGCCATGAGGCCCTGAGTTCAAACCCCAGTATTGCCAAAAGGAGGAGGAGGAGGAAGAGGAGGAGATAACATGGAGAATTATACTTCCCCACAGACTATTTCCTTCTATAGCCCTAGGTAGATACCTGTGATGCCCCCGTAGCGTCTCTGGAAACCCCCATGCAGGGCTGTGGTCTCGGGTGCTCCAGGCCGGGGTGCAGCACAGGGATAGCTGGCAGAGCGTGGGATAGGTTGGGGGACTCGAGTCCCCTCTGCTCCCTCTTCAGGGGCACTCTCCCCACTCTCATCACTCTCCCGGCGGTGCCACACATGCCGCTCAGGTTCGGCCTGGGTCTGCTGCTTGTGGAGCTGGAGAAGTGGGAGACTTATTAGTTGCAGACAGAAGGTTATCTGTCTGAAACATCTGCACAATACTTTCAATTACCACTTACCCTCCCCAGCACCAACTCAATCTAGAATCCTTGACCCAGAGCAAGGTTAGCAATGTATGATAGACATCTGATGCTCTCTGGGCTGTTTGCAGCAGATCCCTGGAAGAGCTTGTGAGTCAGGGCATACTTTTTACCTATCCATTTGAGTAATTTAATATACACTAAAAAGAAAAAAAGGAATGACAGGAAAATAACAGAATTGGAATGGGGAGGGGGTACCAATGAGAGTAAGCAGAGGGCTAACAAAGTAGTTGAATGAGATGAAAATGGCCTGTGCAGTACATTTGCATATATGTGTGTGTGTGTATGTATATATTTGTAAACAAATCAATGAAACCTGCTGAAATTGTTTTAAACAGCCTCAGATGGGGTGGGGAATCAGTGGGAAGTGAGGAAGAGCTAATGAAGAGGCTGTATGAGGATGAATATGTTGTACTAGTTTATTTCCATAAATAATGAAAGAACAATGAAATCTATTGAAATTGTCTTAAGAAGGGTGAGTAGCATGAGGAGAGTGACAGTAGAGGTCGGCTGATCTGAATACATTGTTACATGTGTACAAATGTCTCAACTTGTACAATTAATGTATGCAAAAAATGTTGGGGAATTAGGCCAGCACTGGTGGTTCATGCCTGTAATCCTAGCTACTCAGGAGGCTGACAACTAGGATCAAGTTTGAAGCCAGCCCAGCAGGAAAGCCCATAAGACTCTTATTAAGGGCTGGGAAGGTGACGCAGTGGTAGAGTGCTTGCCTTGCATGCATGAGGCCCTGGGTTCGATTCCTCAGCACCACATAAGCTGAAAAAACCCGAAGTGGCACTGTGGCTCAAGTGGTAGAGTGTTAGCCTTGAGCTGAATTGCTGAGTTACAGCACCCAGGCCCAGAGTTCAGGCCTCACGACTGACAAAAAAAAAAAAAGACTCTTATTAACTACCAAAAAAAAGACCCAGAAGTAGAACTGTGCCTCAAGTAGTAGAGCACTAGCTCAGAACTTGCACCAAAAAAAAAAAAAAAAAAAGAAAATGGAAGTAGGATGGAGGAGTGAGTTTGAATGGATAATACAGTATATGTGTGTGGAAATGTCACAACAAAACACCTCTTGTACAACATATATACTAAAACAAAACAAATTGACCAAGGGTCTAAATGCCAGACACTGTTTTAGGAGCCGGGGACACAGCAATGAACAAAAGGCAAAACTGCCTGCCCTATGGGGCTTATATGCTAGTAGAGGTGGTTGTTGTAGGAGGCTAAATCGTAAGAAAATAAAGAGAAATACAGAATGTCAGATGGTATCAGGTGCTACAGAGAAAACCCAGGAAGATTCTGGAGGATAGGTAAGGAAGGCCCTTAATAAGGGTACTCAGAAAGTCTCAGGAAGAGGTAACGGCAGGAGGAGAAAGGGATGGCATCTGAATATCTTAGGAGTGAACCTCCAAGCTTAAGTGGGCCCTGAAGAATACACTAAAGAGATTATTAGAATGTATGAGAAGCCAAGTACCAGTGGCTCACCCCTGCAATTCTAGCCACTCAGTAGGCTGAGATCTGAGGATCACTGTTCAAAGAAAAGTCCATGAGACTTACCTCCAATCAACCACTAAAAAGCCAGAAGTGGAGCTGTGGCTCCAATGATAGAGTGCCAGCCTTGAGTGAAAAAGCTAAGGGGCAGCTCTCAGGCCCAATGTTCAAGACCAAGTACTGGTGCGTGCGTGCGCATGTGCGCATGCACACACACAATATATGAGAACAGAGAATGTAGCATAGGTAGACAAGAGTAGGGAGTAGAATTCAAGTCTTGCTTCTGTTCTGTTTTGCTCACCTGGTGCATATAAAGGGCATGTAGGCTCATCTCTGTGGATGCATATTCAGACAGCACCAGGCTCTGCAGCTGTCCTTCCCATACGCTGCTCCCAGAGCTAGCTGTCCTTGCATCCACCCTGTGCAGCAGAGACAGACAGCAGTCATCAACACTTCTGATACCACACATGTTGTTGGGGGCTACTGCCATGCTGTCCCATCTTAGCCATTCTCTACTTACCCAGAGCCAGTCATGGTGCTAGGAACCCGGCCTGCAGGGACCTGCCCAGGTTGCAAAGGGGAGAAGGAGCGCAGAGCAGAGGCAACTTCAGCCCTGTGCCTGGAGCCTTGCAGCTCTCTGGGCAGTGGAGGGCCCCGGCAGGATGAGCCAGCTACCACATTTGCAATAAGACTCAGGGGCTAGGGGGGAAAATGGGTGGGGAGAATTTTCAGAGTAGGGGATAGGCCTCTAGATTCCCTAGTATCTTGTACTTCTGGACCCAATGCCACAGACTGAACAGGCAGAGGAAACCTTGTAGCCAATGCCCCATCCTCTAGTCCCCACTCTAGTCCCCATCATCTCCCAGTCCCCAGGTACACACCTCAGACTCAGATTGTAAGGACTGGATAGATGTGAAGAGGGCGTTTTCAGGGAGCAGACCACCTTGGGCCAGGCTAGCCGCGGCTCCATCCCGCTGAACCTGTTCCTTGAGGAAGCCCAGGAAGGCTGTGCTCTCACGCGGTGGCTGCCAGCCAGGGTTAGTGATGGCAAAGTGCATGAGTGACAGCTCTGTCTTCCCATCCTCTGCTTGTTGGTACACTGAGGCCTCTGTCTGCCCTCCGGAGAGCCACTGCACAAGGGAGAAGAGGTAAGCAGGCCTGTTCTCTTACAGGAACTCATCCCGTGCCTTTATGACTAGAGGGATAGGCTTTGCTCCTTGAGGACTAAGACTACAATGCATCGCCATATCTTGTTCAGTGCTCGCCTCAGAAGCAGCCACATGCCAGGCCAGCTGCTTGTGATGTGCTTTTTCTCAAGGGAGCCTGGCTAATGTACAAATTAGGGCTGAAATCTAGCACAGGCTCCTGGTTACCAAGCAGTGGCACTGCTTTTGTTTCACTTGTTGGCTCAGAAGGGGTAGTCTTTTGTAGTTTACCCAAAGACATGATGTGTCAGCTACATTACCTGGCCACTTGCCCCACTCCTCTCACAATACCTGGGGATGACCATGCTGGCGAACATCCATCTGAGCAAAGGAGCAGGTATCTCCAACACCAACAACCTCCACTGTGAAGTTGCGGAAGAAGTCTATAATCTCAAGGGCCCGAGGTCGCAGGCAGAAGATGAGAATGAGGGGTGTGACAATAGGGCTTAGCAACTCCTCCAAGATGAACACCTAGAAGGGAGGAAAGCAAGGTCAGAAGAAAGCAGGAGGTAGCCCAGCCCTCACCACCAAGCTACCAGTCAAGTCGCTAGCAGGCCCTAACTCCAACTCCACTCACTGCCTTGTACTGGAAGAGCTGGGCAAACTCGTCCCGGGTCTGTGAGCGGTGGGCATTACCCTGCCAGTGGTCAGGCATGTAGTGGATGTGAGCAAGGATCACGCGGAGCAGCTGCTCAGGGCAGAACACCATGTGCTGGTCTGGGATGAAGGACCTGGTGAGATCAGGGTCATGGTGAAGACATTTCCTTCCCTAGAATACTGATCTGTTTGTCCCCCACATGGTGCCCCAGCCCACCTGCACACGGTCACAGTAACCCCCAGCAGTGTGACAGTGGTAAGGACGTGCTCTACAGCCAACACATCTTCATCATAGATGGTAAGGGCAATAAGCACAGCCAGGATGGAACCGGCGAAGAAGGCGCCATTCTTGGCCAGCAGTGTCAGCAGAGGGGACAAGAAGCAATTCATATACTTGGAGGCAGGCTTGTAGCCCCGGTTGAGGCGGGACTGAAGCTCATGCTCCAGCTCATTGAAGTGGCGGAGGTAGCAGCGGCCATAGAGCGACCAGCAGCGCGCTCCCAGGGCCCCTGGCTCCCGCTTCAGCACCTCAGCATAGCTGAAGAAGGCATACAGAATCTGCCAGATGAGGATGAGGGGGCACAGCAGGAAGTTCGCGATGCCAATCCACAGGATGCGGTTGCTGAGGCGCTGGGCCAGCTCGAGTCGTTGCCCTCCACGTTTGTACTCAGCCTTGAGGCTCCATTCATTGAGAAACAGAGAGCCAGGCCCCCAGAAGAGAATCAGCTCAAAGTTGTACTTGAGGCCACGAGTGAAGAAGACGGCCTCCCCAAGGCCTGGCAGACGGAAGCGCAGAGGGAGGAGAGATTTGTTCACCAGAGCCACCATGTAGTTCTGGAAACGGAGGATGCGGTGGTAGATGTCCAGCTCTGTAAGCTCACGCTTGTGGATACAGATTTGATGTTCTTTCTGCGTCTGCACAATCCGGGCCTGCACTTCCTGCCATGTGCAGTATGGAAGGGCAGACTGCAGGGTGGGTGGGGGAGACAAGAGACAAGATGTGGAAAGCAGGGGAGTTACTGAAACTTCTTTGTTTTGCAAACCTGCAAGTCTCAGGATATACAACTAGCAGAGTAGAACCTTCCAGCAGATACTTCCTCATCTGGAATGGATACTGGGATTTGGGACCCCACCCTTTCCAGTCTTTGTGCTTCTTAGCCAAGAGGAGGTAAACAGGCTCCCTCCTCCAGTATGCCATGTTCACTTGCCATGCACCCAGAAGTAACTGGGACAACAGCCATGTGCTGAACCTCCGAAACTAGGAGCCAAAAGACCTTCAGGAAGGCCAGAAGTTTAAACTCAGGGCCCCATACTTGTTAGGCAAGCATTTAACTATTTAAACCACACCTCCAGCTTAACTTATTTTTATAAAACGCTTATCTCAGGTATGTTGTCACATTAGCAGGAAGCAAACTAGCACACCTCACAATGATAGATATGGTTGTTTGATATCCAGTAATACCCATGATCCCTCCCAAAATGTCTTAGTTATGTTGCAAATGGCCCAACTTCTCAGCTTACCATTGGGATGCGTAGAGCATGCAAGTAGAAGGAGTGGATCTCCCAATAGCAGCAAATGTTATAGATGAACTTGATAAGCCGGTGGATCCAGAAGACACCAGCTATGACCAGGATAGTGATAAGGGAGCCATTTTCCTGAATCCTAGTGGGAAAATGAAGGAGAGGTGGGTCCTTGAGGAAGGAGTCTTGGAGACATGCTGCTTCCTAAACGATTTTGCTAGGTTGAGTCTGAGCCTGTGTTCTAGGGCATGAGTTGCTGCCTCATACACCACACTATTCCCTATCTACCAGCAGAACTAGACTCCATTCTGACCTACCACCTTACCTGGCACTACAGACTTGGGCAGGCAAAAAGGCATCTGGCAGAGTAACCTTGACAGGCTCAGTAGGATGAAGACTGTGGTTCACCATCTTGTTGGCAAATAGGATGTCGTAGTCCACACAGCTAACCAGGAAAGTGGTGAAGGCAACCACAAAGAGGAACTGCCTGGAAGGTGGAAAGGGGTGGGGCACACATAATCCCAGAGTCAGAGAGCTACCAACAAAATAAAGAGGTACAAGAGTAGATCCTAGAAAAGCCTAACAAGATAGGAAGTCTAAGGGACTAGAGATTTCCAAATGGGCTCTTCCTACTGCTCAGCCTCACAGGAACTTGCAGGCTCAAATTGGCTCCTATATTTTGCTTTTTGCTTCAAGTGCCCCAGATTCAGCCTGCTTGCCTCACCTCATGGTAATCTACCACTAATACTGGACTTGACTTTTAGAGGTTTTATATCTATGGTCTATTGTCTCCAGTTGCTGATCCTTTTGAGGCAATATGTAAAAGTACTTTGAGGATGTGAACTCTTCTCTCTGAGAGAGGCCTCTCCCTATTTGGTAACATTATAGACTCCTCTCCTAAAAGGTTTCTTGCCTAGCATCAGGCCTAAAGCAGAACAGAGGCTTTTTCCTCAAGTACCATTTCTCAGACCTTCTGTCTGAACCATGAACATCCCACTGCAGCCCTGATGAAATGTTCAAGGTGTGAGTTCTCTTCACAAAAGGAGGAAAGGCTATTCTTGGAAGAGTCTGTAGGCTTCAGTCCTGAACTGAACTATAAAGGTCTGTAGAATTTTGAGCCTAGAACTGAGTTGCATTGGAAGACAGGGCCAGGGATGAGTACAAGGAAAGAATGAGATTTATTCTTTCACTCCAACACCCATCTCTTTGTATACTTACATGAGCTCAAAGATCTCCCCAATGAGCATACATGTGAAGCCATTCTTCTGGTGTAGATTATAAACGTATAAGTGTTAAGAAAAAGCTGGGCGCTGGTGGCTCATGCCTATAATCCTAGCTACTCAGGAGGCTGAGATCTGAGGATTGCAGTTCAAAGCCAGCCGGGCAGGAAAGTCCGTAAAACTATTATCTACAGTAAACCACTCAGAAAACTGGAAGTGGCCCTGTAGCTCAAGTGGTAGAGCACTAGCCTTGAGCTGAAGAGCTGAGGGGCAGTGCTCAGGCCCAGAGTTCAAGCCCCACGGCCGACCAAAAAAAAAGAAAAAGAGAAAAAATAGCGCTGAGTATCAGTGGCTCATGCCTATAATACTAGCTACTTAAAAGGCTGATACCTGAGGATTGTGGTTCAGAGTCATTCTGGAAAGACTCATATTAACCAGAAAAAAACTCAAATGGGAGAGTGCCAGCTATGAGTGAAAAAACTGAGTAAGAGCATTAGACCAGAGTATCAAAACATCCACCCCCAAACACAAAAAAGTCAGTAAAGATAACAGTCAAAGCCTTCCCAGGTGGCTCACGCCGGTAATCCTAATTACTAAGGAGGCTGAGATCTGAGGATCACAGTTCAAAGCCAGCCTGGGCAGGAAAGTCCACTAGACTCTTAACCCCCAGAAAACCAGAAGTGGACTGGTGGCTGAAGTGGTAGAGTGCTTGCCTTGAGCTGAAGAGCTGAGGGACAGCGCCCAAGCCCAGAGTTCAAGCCCCATGACTGACCCCCCCCCCCCCACAAAAAAAAAAAAAAGGTAACAGTCAAGAGGGCTGGGAATGTAACTTAGTGGTAGAGTGCTTGCCTAGCATGCATAAAAGCCCTGGGCTGCAATCCTCTGTACCACATAAACAGAAAAAGCTGGAAGTAGTGCTGTGGCTCAAGTGATAAAGTACTAGCCTTGAGCAAAAAAGAAAATCAGGGACAGAGCTCAGACCCTGAGCTCCAGGACTGGCAAAAAAAAAAAAAAAAAAGATAATCGAGAGCAGAGATTTTGATGTCACACATTTAAGTTTAAGGTATGGCTCTGTGACTTTCTAGAGTATAGTTTTATACAAGTTACTTAATCTTTCTAAAACTTTTTGTTTTTGTGCCAGGATTTGGAGCTTGAACTCAGGGTCTCTGGCTCTCACTTGGCTTTTCTCACTCAAGACTGGCACTTGAGCCACACCTCTGCTTCATCCTCTAAGGTTTTGTCTACAATGGTAAATTAGATTAGCAATACTTGTCTCATAGAATTAGGTTTAAGAAAATGCCTACAAAGTATTTAACACAAAACTGATAAAGGATAAGTAAAAGGCATTAATTACCACAATTATCGTTACAATTCTCATTGGGAAAGATTATCTTTACAAAAGTTCCTTATAAATTACCACCACAAAGTACACAAAGCTCTCAGTAAATGTAAGATTATCATTATTTTTAACAATCATTATTTCACTAGTTTCCTTCAGCCCCAGGACGAGCTTCCTTTCCCTTCCCAGGGATTAAAATTGAATGCACCTCAACTTCTCATTAGGGACCTAGCCCAGAGGAGCTATTATACCCCAGACTTACAACACAGGAACACAAAGGATATTCGAGAGAAAAAGAGGTCAAGGTTTTCGATGTGGTGCCAAGGTGCTGTGGATACAACAACAGAGATATCAGAGTCCCCAAAGAACCAAAGCCCCTTGCTCCTTCATTAGTCCACCACCTACTCTCCCCCTACCCCAACTCTGGCTGTCACATTCAAGAACTCACACTTGCTCCCCTCAGCAACATGCACCAACAGGTCTTCCTCTCCAGGGGGTGAATCACTGTAGGAGGCCTCTAGGCGCTGGTACTCAGTATCAAACTGCGCCATCACCACCTCCCCCTGTCCACCGTGTCCACCTGCCAGTGATGAGGAAGAAGAGACTCTAGATCAGCTCCAGGTGCTGCTTCCCTGCTTCCCTGCTGACTAGGCCAGAAGAAGTGAGAAAGAATACTTGGGCTTTACCTCCTTCACCAGGCTCCTTGGCCTCAAGGGAGAGCAGGAGTAACAACCCAAGGACAGCAGTAAGCTTGAGGAGGTCCAAACTCTGGTCAGTCATTCCCAGAGTCTCTACTAGGTATCTAGTGATATCTCCCTGGCCTGAAGTGAGAATATGCCCTTTGGTAGGAGGTGAGCTGTTTCATTTTCTCTTCATATGTCCCTCCCCTGCCCCTTCTGGAAACCCTGGTCTCCCCAGAGACTAGCAGTTTGGAAGCATTTTGTAAACAAATGTTTGAGATAAGCACATGGCCCTACCAGCTCCATGGACAGTGTCTGCTCCACTCCAGTCCTGGATGCCCTGGCTGGACAGCTGCTGGAGGAAAAGGTGTCAGGCCCCAAAGAGGAGGGGAGGGGTGTGAGAGAAAGGACTCCAACCCTGCCACCCATCCAATCATCACTAAGAGGAGGGCAGGGAGACCATAGTGGGGAAGAGTACCCTCCAGCCTAGGACTGTACTATCAGGGGTCACTCATTCCCCTCTGGAATACCAAGAAGAAACTTCATTGACCCTGTAGACATTGAGTTAGTACAGGCCACAAGCCCTCTGGACTGTCTCTCCACTGCAAACCTCAGCTTCGGAACCCAGACATGCCTCTTGGGGTCCACAACACACCTAATAAGAGCCTTTTCTGAAGATCTTTTTGGTTAGCCCCTTCGCCTGCTTCCCTGACACAGAAGATCTAACTGACAGGCATTGCTCCTGGATGGGAAACTCGGAGCCATTGTAGCTAGATCCTGTGGGAATCTGTGGGTTCCCTGGGTCCCTGGAGCCAGGCAGGGTCAAGGAGGTACTCACCCAATCAGTGCAGACCTTAGGGACGGTAGATCTTGGACCCGCCTGGCCCCAGTGGGATTCCCGGGGTTAGTGGGAGCCCTGCCCCTTAGGGAACTCACCACTCATTGGGTCAGTGTAGACCAGGGCCCATGTATCCCCTGCTGGTAGGGCCTGGGCTCGAGGGTTCTGGCGGATGTTGGAGAAGTCGAGCCAGACCTACAGCTGACACCCCTAGCTGGGTTGCCTCACTACACCCAGCCGCTGGGACCCGAGCACAGAGCACCCCAGGGTCGCCCGGCCCCCGGCCCAGGGCTCGGCTCCCAACAGCGACAACCTCGCGCGCGCTCCGACCGCCAGAGCGCGCCCCCGATCGCTCGCGCGCGCCCTCTATCAAAACATTCCGGATGCGCGTCCCCGGGCCCTCCTGCGACGCCCCTTCCCCTATTACGCGCTGCGAGCTCACTTGGGGCTCCGTGGGCAGCCCTGGCCAGGTCCGGCCTGGGCTTAAGGGGTTCCAATAACCAGCCTCGCGTGTCACCTCAGGAACCCTGACCCGGGCGATTCCAAGAGACTCGGTCGGTTCCGCTCGGCTCGGCCCGTCCGGGAGCGCTAGGCCTGGCGTCTGCCACTCACTGTCACCGCAGCCAGTCTTCCCAATGAACGTAAGGGGTGGAGACACACTGGCCAATGATCGACCCAAGGGGTGGGACGAGAGGCTTGAGGCGGGTCTTGGCAGTCAGAGGACCAATGGTGTGCTTTGAGTAGGGCGGGGCTGAGGTGCGGGCGCCACGGTTTGTCCTCTTTGTGCCTCCGTAGTGACGAGATTGTTGTGTTGCAGGAATTCGGCTGTGGAACTGTGGACGTGCCGGCCACTTGACTCTTGGCACGTTTGATTCGGCTTCTTGGCGCGCGGGCGAGATTATGCGGTTGAAGGCTCAGCGGCCTTGCGGCATGAGGGCGACCAAGGCCGGCAGGCAGATGTGGCAGTAGGATCTCCTGTTTCTTCCCCTCTTTTTTGCTCCAAGAGCTGCTTTTAAATCATTTCCGTTCAGCCATGTCGCCAACTTCAGCTCCGGCTCCGGCTTCCACGTCCGTCTCCCTGTTTGATCTCAGCGTGGATGCTCCAGTCTTTCAGGGCCTCAGCCTAGTGAGCCAGGTTCTGGGGGAGCCTGGGGTCCGGGCTCCGTGCACTAACTCTCCAGGTATTCGGGAGGTTTGGGGTGGACCCATGAGGAACGTCACGAAGCTCTTTGGAACTTTTACTCCTTTAGGAAAGACTTCCCTTCTTAGCTTACGAGTGAGTTGCTGTGGACTTCGGTTTCTGTTGAATGCAGTTTGTCCTAAATTAATTTAACTGCATAGTTTTTAGCACACCCACGAGTTGTCTCCAAACAACTCTTTTGGCTTATTGTTTGTATGTCGTCACATTAACACCACTGCCTACAAAAATACTCAAAGACAGATTCAAAATGTAACCTGACTTCTATCATTCCTTTTTGCCTAGTATAGAATAATCAGTCTGTGCTTGGTTTTGTATAACTTTAATTTGCCTTGTTTTCCTTTCAGTTTATGTTAAGTGTGCCCTGTGATGGGAACTGTAAGCTTTAAAAACGGCATTTTTACACAGTTAAAAATAATTTTTTTAAGAGTTGAGGGGAAGGGTTGTGTACCACAAGTCTCTTGTTAAATTCCCAGCATCGCAAAAGTAATGATTTTGAGCCTTACAGGGAAGGAAGCCAAATCCCAGTTACCTTCAAGGGCCCAGGAAGTAAGGTTTTGGTCTAGGTAACTTTGAAGATGTGATTCAAATATACTTTAGAGTTGTCTTTATGAGTACATGTTTATTATCCCCACAGTAGCCACTGAGTGCACCTACAAGTTCACTAGAGGGTGGGGAAACAAGAGGAAAAAGGTTGTTGAGTAGCTATGTCAGTGAAGTTCAATGGAAAGAAATGGGCCATTTCTGTAGTTAACTGTTACTGTGTTAAGGGATTTTTGAAGAGCATTGATTCAAGAAGCATTTTCTTGATTGATGAAAAAATAATCCAGTTATATTTACCCTTGCTAAGAGATTCTGCATATATGGTGCCTAATAAAATTAAAAGAAATTTAAGGATGAGGTTATAATGGTAGGGCACATACTTAGCTTGAGGCCCTGGATTCAGTCTACAACACCTAAGGGGGGAAAAAAGATGGAAAAAAATTAACCTCAACACGAATTATTTTTACAAGATTCTAAGACAATCCATTTGGCTAGTTTAAATACAAAACTGACATATTCATTTTACATGCATCTTTTCAGAAGCATTTTATTTTGTGGTTATGGTTATCATTTATTTAAAGATGAATGAAGTATAAACTCCTTGAAGACAAGGTCATGTCATCATTCTTTTGTATCCTTCAGATATTGAATGTAGCTGCAGGCATTGTGGATTTGAGTTCCTTTTCTACCTCTAATTACCCTTCTCTTATTTAGGTTCAGGGGAGAGAGCAAGCCCAGAAAGAAAAGTATCTCAGGGTCCTTTGGATATTTCAGAGAAATTCTCTTGTTTAGCCTGTGACCAAACCTTCCAGAACTACCAGGAACAGGTAAAAATAATAATAAGATAAAATTTTAAAATTAAAAAAAGTGAGGGAGCTGGGCGCTGATGTCTTATGCCTGTAATCCTAGCTACTCAGGAGGCTGAGATCTGAGGATTGCGGTTCAAAGCCAGCCCAGGCAGGAAAGTCTATGAAACTCTTTATCTCCAATAAACCACAAGTACACTGGAAGTGGTGCTGTAGCTCAAGTGGTAGAGGGCTAGCCTGGAACTGAAGAGCTGAGGGACAATGCTCAGGCCAGAGTTCAAGCCCCATGACCAACCAAAAAAAAAAAAAAAAAAGTGAGTATGTAGGGCTAGACATTAGAAGGAAAAATATAACAGTGCCAGGTGCTGGTGGCTCACTCCCATAATCCTAGCTTATTCAAGGCTGAGATTTTAGGATTGTGGATTGAAGCCAGCCCAGGTAGAAAAGTTTGTTGAGATGCTTATCTTCAACAAACTACAAAGAAAAAGCCAGATGTGGTACTGTGGCTCAAGTGGTAGACTGCTAGCCTTAAGCCAAAGAAGCTCAGGGACAGTGCCCAGGCCCTGAGTTCAAGCCACAGGACCGCCTCCCCCAAATTAACAATAATAAACTTAATGGTGTGTTAGAAGAGTGATTTGCCTTAAATTCATAAAGGACTTGTTTTGACTAATTCAACTGGTGTTACTCTGTCATATTTCTTGAAGTTCTACAACTTGTCTTGGCTAGTATACAAGGCCAGGCTGGGACATATTTCTGCCTTTCTGCTTTCTCTGTTTTTCTGTACCAGAGAGAACATTATAAACTTGACTGGCATCGCTTTAACATAAAGCAGCGTCTGAAGAACAAGTCTCTCCTGTCTGCTTTGGACTTTGAAAAGGAGAGCTCCACAGGTGATGCCTGATGGGAGGGCCTGTCTGGGAGCAGGCCTTAAGGGGTGTGAGGGAAGTGAAAAGGTACTAAACTTGTATGTTCTATGTTGTCTGTCTTCAGGAGATCTTTCTAGCATCTCAGGATCAGAAGACTCAGACTCAGCCAGTGAAGAGGACTTGAAGACATTGGGCGAGAAGACTGAACGTGAAAAGCCTCATCAACCCAGGGGCTTCTACCCCTGTAGAGTTCTTTTCCAAAATGCCCAGGGCCAGTTTCTTTATGCCTATCGATGTGTCCTAGGCCCTCATCAGGCAAGTGACAGCACAGGCTAGTTGATCAATCCTTTTTGTGTATTCAGCCTAAGATTGCTCCTTAGCCAGTCCATGTCTCATTTCTTCCTTCTCAGTGTGGATATCACACTTGACAGCCAGTCTTGGCCAGAAACTGTCTTAAATCTTGAAAGGGTCAGGTTTGATGGGGTCAAGTTTGGGGGACAAACCAGTCTTGGTTTGAAGTGGTTTCTACCGCTTGATCTTCTACAACTACCTCTCCAAGCTTCAAATTTCCCTCTTTGTAAAATGAAAACAAGGCTCAGGGTGGCTGTAATAAATGAGAAAATGTATGTGAAACACAACACTGGTGCTTGGTTTCTTGCCTTCTGTCAAATGTAACAGCTAGAATGTTCTGCTGCATCTGTGTTGTAGGTTTCTCCAGAAGAGGCAGAACTGCTACTACAGAACCTGAAAAGTGGAGGTCCCAAATATTGCGTGGTGCTGATGGCTGCAGCTGGACACTTTGCTGGTGCTGTTTTTCAAGGGTGAGAGGGCACTGTGTGGGATAAGGATGGAATGGATTCCATTAGCCTGGGAGCACCAGGTTGTGTCCAGTACTGAGTCTTTGCTGTCTACAGAAGAGAAGTGGTGACACACAAAACCTTTCACCGCTATACTGTGCGGGCCAAGCGGGGCACAGCCCAGGGGCTTCAGGATGCTCGAGGCAGGACATCACGTTCTGCTGGAGCCAGCTTGAGGCGTTACAATGAAGCCACATTATATAAGGTAAGTTATACTGCCTCCCAGATCTTAGTTTCTCTAAGAACTTTTTTGCCTCTCATTGTCAACTCATTGTTAACAGTAGGGTAGTTTGGATTTGTTTACCTTTCTCATATTCATTAGACATAGTAATAATGAAGTAAACATGGGTAGTATAAGTAGAATGGGGATCTCTATCTTTCTCCTTTTTCATCCTTTTTCTCCCACTCTTGGTACATTTGTTGGGATATTTTTTATTTTCTTCTGTGCCAGTACTGGAGCTTGAATTCGGAGTTCCATGCCTTCCCATAGCTTTTTCACTATAGGCTGGTACTCTACCACTTGAGCCTCACCTCCCATTCGAGCTTTTTACTAGTTAATTGGAGATAAAAAGCTTTTTAGACTTGTCTCCTAAAACCCTTTTAGGAGGGCTAGCTTTGAACAAGCAATCCTCAGATCTCAGTCTTCTGAATAGCTATAATTACAGTCATGAACCACCAGCACCTGGCTTGTGTATTTTAAGAGTAGCAAGTAAAGATATACCAAATGGAGTTACCTTCTTTCCTAGGATGTTCGTGACCTGTTGGCAGAGCCAGACTGGGCTAAGGCCCTGCGGGAGGCTGGAACAATTCTGCTTCGGGCTCCCCGCTCTGGCCGGTCCTTGTTCTTTGGAGGCCATGGAGCACCTCTTCAAAGGGAGGATCCCCGACTGTGGGACATCCCTCTCACTACCCGCAGACCCACCTTCCGAGAGCTCCAGCGTGTGCTCAACAAGCTGACCACTCTGCATATCTATGGTGAGTCTCTGATCCAGATTCCTGTACTTCTAGGCCTTCTGGCTCTCAAGTGTGTAACCAGAGGTTTTCTAACCTTTGGATGGCAGGCCAATTACATTTTCATTGAGAAAAACCTGTGTTAGATTCTCCTCAGCTAAGTTTGAGAAAGACCTTTTGTTTTATGGCAGGAGAAGACCCTCGAGAGATAGTCAGATTGCGCTCATCTCAGACACACTGGAAGACTGTGAAAGAGAAGAGGAAGGCTACTGAGGATGAAAGAGACAGTGTTCCCAGTGATGAAAGTAAGGAACTTGAGCAAAATGAAGAATCACCCAAAAGGGTTTGAGCACCATCTGTCAATTGTCAGATCCATCTGGGTGTCTGTCCTGAAAATACAGTGATAGGGTCTTACTGTACAATCTAGACTGACCTTACTTAGTCTTCCCAACTCCCGTATCCAACTCCAGTACTAGGATGTGTGCCAACACATCCAACAACTGAGACATGTTTAGTGACATTTCCAGATCTATTTGTTTGTCCATGGATGTATCTGTGACACATAGGAAAGTCTTATCCTTCGAGTAGATGTTTGAATATGTTGCATGATTCTCAGATTGTAAATATCTGATTAGATGTTGTGGTTTAGAGCTAAAGGTTGCTTTTCATTACTGTGTTCCATCTTAAAGCTGTTCATAGGGAGAGTCCAAGGATAAAATAAACACAATTTCATTTCAAGATGATCTGGATTATCTCTTTATATACATGAATGCTTCTGGGGAAGCCCACATCCTTCCACCCTCTGCTTATTCCTTAAATGGGTCCTAATATGACATATTTTCCCCTAGATTCAGCATCAGAGGAAGATGGCTCCCCAGTAGAGCTGGAGTTAGTAGAATTAGCACTAGAGACCTTGAGTCTTCGTGAGTATGAATTATTGCCCAAGCGAAGGAGAAAAAAGACTAAGAAGAAGAGAAGTCAAGACCAGGAAGCTGGGGCACTTCAGCAACTTGAAGAAGATGAACCTTCCTCACAGTCATTCCAAGTGGTTGCAGCCCCCTTGGTTGATGAGGCCAAAGCCCCTGGTCAGCCAGAGCTCTGGGATGTGCTTCTAGCTGCTTGCCGAGCTGGAGACATCGGAGTGCTGAAAGTCCAGTTAGCTGCTGGGCCTGAAGACACTGGAGTCATGTCCCTACTTAGTGCTCCCTTGGGCTCTGGTGGCTTTACTCTTCTTCATGCAGCAGCGGCAGCTGGAAGAGGCTCAGTAGTTCGTCTGCTGTTGGAGGCAGGTGCTGACCCCACTGTACGGTATGTCTCTATCCAGAGCCAGTTTGGGTATAGAGGATATAGCCATGTGATGACTCATTTGGGTGTTGCCCATTATTCCTTGGTTTGGTTGAGTTGATATTGGGAAAGGCAAGGAGAAAGCTGAACCCATTTGGGGGGTTTTGCACTTAGAGACTCCCAGGCCCAGCCACCGTATACCGTGGCAGCTGATAGATCAACACGTAATGAATTCCGAAGGTTCATGGAGAAGAATCCAGATGCCTATGACTACAACAAGGCTCAGGTAAGCTGGAAAAGGAAAAACAAATACGGAGTGGGAAGGCATCATAGCTCCTCAGTAGCTCCTTTCTATTTCCCTGCAGTTTTGCAAAAGATAGCTTATAGGAATCTTTACTTGTTTTTTTTTTTTTTGCAAATCTAGGTGCCAGGGCCATTGACCCCAGAAATGGAGGCACAGCAGGCTACACGGAAAAGAAAGCAGAAGGCAGCCCGGAGACAGCGAGAGGAACAACAGCGAAAGCAGCAAGAGCAGGAGGAGCGGGAACAAGAAGAGCAGCGGCGATTTGCCAGCCTCAGTGACCGAGAGAAGGTAAGACTCCAGGCTGTAAGGTGTGGCTTCTTTAGAGCTTTATCCCTTCCCAAGAACGTAGCTGTTGCTTCTTAAGCACACTGGGGACTGGGCCTGGTCCTTAATACAACTTCTGTTTCTTAGAGAGCTCTGGCTGCAGAACGCCGACTTGCTGCCCAGTTGGGAGCCCCTAGACCTCCGATCCCTGACTCTGCAGTCATCAGTGCTGGGTATGGGGTCAGCAGATGAATGAAAGAGTGGATGATAATATTGTAAGGACCATTTGGGTCAAGTGGAGTGAGTGCCTACATAGTACTTTAAAAGGTTATTAAAGGGATTTAAGATACTCTGGAACCTTTATGGGCTGGGGAGAGCTTACATTGACAAGTTTCTGGGGTACCTGTCCAGTCAACTTTCTTCCTCTTGTTCAGACGCTGCTGGAGTTGTGGGGCATCGCTCCAAGGCCTCGTTCCTTTTCACTACCTCGACTTCTCTTTTTGTTCTACACGCTGCCTCCGGGATCATCGAAATCGAGCAGGGAAGCCTTCTTCCTGAACTCTTACAGTTCCACCTGGAGCCAACTGTGGAACCCCAAAATGGCATGCTTACACAAGCCCTAGGTTTTTTCCCCCATGAAGACAGAGACTATTTTTGAAGACTAGGATGAGAGACACTCAGGAACTAGGGCAAAGACAGGGCCACAGAAGTGTGTGGAGCTGGTACTGTGTCTGGAACTTTAATCACAATAAAGTTTGGCAAGCAAACTGAACTTGTACTTATATTCAGAGTCATTCTGACCTTTGGTTTCTTGTGATTGCCATGACCAACACCAACGGATCCTGTCCACTCCATGTCCTAGGTTCAAGGTTTACTTTTTTTCAGTGCCCACTTAATTGAATTGGTTCATATGTACTTTGTGGGTCTGAGAAGGAATCGAAATGTGGCCTATGTGAGGTGCCGTTGAGGATAGGATTATCCAAAAATTGGACTTGAGGCTTGGAAGGCACATTTTCTAGCTCCAGCAATGTGATTTTGTTGATAGCTCCCTTAGGCAACAGGAGAAGTCTTGGCACATATAGTGTTTGTTGTGGCCCCCGCTTTGTCCAGTACCGGCCCAAGTTAAACCCATTGATCCAGACTTGGCCCTGGGAAGGGGAGGGAATGGGAAAAAGAAAGGATTAGCTCAATGCAGAGTAAAATCATCCCGTTTCAGGGTTCAAACCATAGGAATAATTTCTGTCCTCCCTCCTTTTGTGATTTAACTTTTTCCCCTCTCCACTCCCAACTACTACCATTAATTAGCAATACCTTGGTCCATCCAGGTAAATATAGAAATGTGTCCCCAGACGAGCCTAAAATTGGAAATGTTGTAGAATAGAAGGTAGGGCCAGAGGGAATGTCAGGCTGTGGTCTTTTCAGCAAGTTGAGGGGAAACCACCACTTCACAAGCTTATCAATTTTCAGAGGGTATATCATCCAGTCAGTAAGGATTGTTTGCCCCAGAATCGGTGGCTCTAACAGGCCCTGCAGGGAGCAAATAAAAAGTTATCATTCGCTAAACTCACCATCCCTAAAGTTCTAGAATGTAACTGGCCATTGTCCACAAGTCCCCACAACCGCTACACTATCCAACTCCTATGGACATGACTAGTTTATCTTCCATTAAGCCCCCATCTTTCCAAGGGAGTTGGCCAATAAGAGTACTGGGGGAAGAACTATGTAAAATCATCTCACCTTGAAGTCACTATGGTTAGACCCAAAACTCAGCCTTCCCATGTTCTCCAGCAAGATATCCAGTTTGGCACCTGCTTTTGCAGTCAAAACTAGTTCACGTTTTGTATTTCGTTCCAGAACACCCTGGAACACCTGGGAATAAGAGATAGAACCTATGAAACAAAGGGTTTGGCATCTCTAGCTTTTGGTCACTGCTAAGAAGCTACATTAGAACATGTAATTTGGAAGGCAGAGAGAAAGTCATCTGTCAATTATTCACCATCCATTCTAGAACTTTTTTTTTTTTTTTGGTCTGGTTATGGAGCCTGAACTCTGGGCCTGGACACTGTCCCTCAGCTCTTCAGCTCAAGGCTAGCGCTCTACCACTTGAGCCACAGCGCCACTTCCAGCTTTTTTCTTTTTGCTTATGTGGTGCTGAGGAATCGAACCCAGGGCCTCATGCATGCAAGGCAAGCACTCTACCACTGAGCCACCTTCCCAGCCCTCTAGAACTATTATTTATTAAACTCTTCCCTCATCCCAGCTTATCACCCAGGACATTCTGCAGATGTGAGTAGGCAGGTAGGAAAGGATGGAGATGGAGAACTTAAGGCTGTTGGTGCTGGGGAAAGGAGGTAGTCAAGGTTCACAGGTTAGCCTGGAATTGTTATGCTCTTACCTCATCCAATATCACATAGGCACGGTCATGGACTCCATTATTTGGCACCCAGAATGGTGTTGGTTCAGAAACGGTGTAAGGCAGATAGGTCCGGTACAACATAAAGCCATGGTCCTGGGTATGGAAGAATGGTTACTTTAAGATGGACTGAGGGTAAGATTAACAGCTGATGACAATTTAGACAATAGCTGTTGAGAAAATGCCTGCCATCCCACCAGTTTATCCCTTACCTGCTTGACAGCCTCAAATGTCAGTGGGAAAAATGAGTTGATGGGTCCCTTGGGACAGAGAAAGTCTAGGAAAGCCAGCAAATTCCCATCCTATTAGATTAAGGGAGAATAATAAGAATCTAAGAGGGAAGCTTCTAGATAGGAGGGTAGGGCAAATAAAGGAATAGAATCTGAAAATGGGTAGCACTTACCAAGTGCAGAGTCAAAGGTCCAAGCATCATCTTGGGGCCAGGAGGAGGTAAAGGTCCCAAGGGAACTTCCTGGAACTGAGCCCAAATTCTCTCAGGAGCCAGTAGTGAAACCAGAGGTAACCCCTATTCCAAGGCCCTAGAAGGTTCTGAACCCAGGACCCAGAGAAGGGCTTCAGGGGGTCATGAAGACCTGGTAATTTTGCACTCGTGTGTAACTCCCCAGGTATTCCCCTTGAGAATAGTCCACAGAGGGCTCTGTGGTCCAGACAACCACCACCACCAGTTTAGAGAATCCTTTTACAGTGTGGGCACTACCTTCTTCCAAATAAATAAAAGGGCACCTTGCTGATGACATTTCGAATAGCAAAAAACTTAGGTGTGGGGTCTCCTGCTTCAGATATGGGTGCATCGTAGTCATAGCTGGTAGTAATTGGAAGGAAGCGTCCCTTGTCATCGGCACCTGGGGTTGAACCAATTTAATTAACTCATGTCACTAAGCAAACAACCTTATGCAGGGAATTTTCCCATCAGTGGGGGCAGTGGTAGCCATGTGCAGCTTCTAGGTATCAGAATACATATAGATACTAATTCCTTGTCACCTCCCTACATCTGCCCCAGGGACCACTTGTACTTACCATTCCAATATCCGAAGTTGGTACCTCCATGAAACATGTACCTGAAGTAAGGAAGGTGGAGAGGAAAGAGAAAAGCTGACCATTGAATCTTAACTCTTTTTTTCCCGCTTTTTGTTGCTTTTTGTTGAACTCAGAATCTGGGTGCTATCCCTTAGCTCTTTTGCTCAAGGCTAGCAGTCTACCACTTTGAGCTACAGATAAGAGTCTCATGGACTTTCCTGCCCGAGCTGACTTTTGAATTAGTCTCTGATCTCAGCTTCCTGAATAGCTAGAATTACAGGCGTGCGCTACCAAGTGCCTGGCTTAAATCTTAACTTTTATTCCCAGCTCCCCATAACAGATTCATATTGCGTCTCCAGTTACATGTTCACACTGGCTCCCAACTTGAGCATGTTTTCCAGTCCTTTAGTTACAGATGAAATCGACCGTGTGGAGTGGTTCTGGCCCCAGTAATCCAGCCAACCTGTGTAGTACTCAGAGTTTACCTAGAATGTGAAGTGAAAGGATTGAGTGAAGTGGACATCAGGCTAGACACATTCCCACCAGACTTTTGCTTTGATTCACCTCCCATCTGGTCCCTTACCAATGGCCCATTAGGTTCATACTTCCGAAGCCGGGCAAAGATTCTGGTCATGTTGTCAGCTGTAGAAAGAAGGCACAGGTAAAAAGATAAATAACACAGACTAGCTGTTTCTTCCCCAGACTCCTAGCCCTTGTTTAGAAGACCTGGTCCAAAATCTACAGTAGTATAGAGTCCCTCGAGGGAGCCACATCTGAGTCCTTCAGGCCCATCTGTGGTGAAGAGCAAGATCTTGTCTCCCAGCAGTGAACGGAAAAGTCCAGCCAAGTGTCTCATGTATTTGAAATCGCAGGCCCTATAGCTACCATACTCATTCTCCACCTTCCAGGGAAAAAGAAAAAGGAGCCCAGCTATGAGGCAGAAAAGGTTAAGGACCCCCGGTATATCTTTCCCCTTGCCCAATCAATTTCCCACTTGTACCTGAATGCTAATGATGTTGCCCCCATTGTGATAGAGGAATGGATATATCTTGGGCAGCAGGACCTTGAACCAGGAGTCCACTGCAGTAAGAAAGTCTAAAGGAAGACACAGAGGTCTACTCATTAGGGACCACCACCACTGCTGTATCCCTGCCCCCAGCATCCTTGCTATTCCATGCTGCCCTTATTCGTGACTACAGCTTCTATCCTTTCTCCATAACTAAGTCTGAAACTCTTAGAAAAAACTCTTAACCCTAAACACATGGAAATTTACATGGCAGTTGAATCAACTTAGAAAGCCTTAAAATAGTATTTACCAAAAATACATGTAGCACTGGGAATGTGGCTTAGTGGGAGAGTGCTTGCTTAGCATGCATGAAGCCCTGAGTTCGATTCTTCAGTACCACATAAAGAAACAGAAGTGGCACTGTAGCTCAAGTGGTTGAGGGCTAGCCTTGAGCAAAAGACGCTCAGGAATAGTGCCTAGGCCCTGAGTTCAAGGCCCAGGGATGGCCAAAAAAAAGAGGGGTAGAAAAAAAGGTTAAACACATGATATGGGGTTATTATTATGTAAAGTCCTAGAGTTTTAAGTCAGCAATTGAAAGATCATTATATTAGGAATCATGTGTTAAATTCTCATCTACTTGCCACTTCTGTGATTCATCCTCAAGATCTCCATATATTTTCTTTCCTCTGCCTATACGTGCTTTTAAGGGTGAATTCAATGAGATGTTTTAGAGGACATTTTTCAATTCTTAAACCATTTCATTACTTTCTTTATGTTTTATTAGGAGTCCATGTTGTATTGCTTCTTTTAATATAAGCATTCAGTAACGCATTCAGCCAATATTTATGGGTACTAACCTTGCAGCCAAGCTCTGTTCTAGGTATCAGGGACATAGAAGGAGCAAAACAGACAAAAAAAAAAGGCCTTTACCTGGTGGAATTTACTTTCTAGATATGGAGGCAGACAATAAATTAAACAACTTAAGGGCTAGAACATGGTTTAAATGGTAGAGCACCTGCCTAGCAAGCTTGGGGCCTCAGGCTCAAACCTCAGTCCACATTAGATGATAGATAGACAGTCAGGCATAGAAGTACATGCCTGTAATAACAGCATATGGGAAGCTAAGGCAGGAAGATTTGGAGATCAGGGCCATCCTAAACTACATAGTGAGACCTTGTCAAAAGAAAATGGAAAGATCCCTTAAGAGATTGAGGTCAGTAGTCAGAAAGATGGAAGGGATAGGGACTAAGGAAGTGAGACATCATGACAGATGAGAAAAGTGTATTTAAAAGGACAGAGTGATCAGCTATGCTGGGTGCTTCTTACTGGTCAAGGAGGATTATGCCTAAGAGGGCACAGATTTCACAACGTACACCAGCAAACAGCTGGTATTTTAAGCAAAAGAGACTCCATGTTAGAATTCCATTACTATTCCATAATTTTAGGTGTATTTCATATTCAGCTCAGCTGTAAGAGGTACTCTGAATTGTTTATCTGCACCTACAGTCTCCTTTAACAGTGTCAGTAAATGGCACCACCACCCTGACTGGCCAGAAACTTTATTCTTTTCTTACTCATACCAGCCCTATCTGTCCCTTTGCTGTCAGAATTTATCAACAAGTCCTAATGATTTTCATCTCCAAACCTTTATCTTAATTCTGCTTTTTCCATTTCTACAACTATCATATTGGTCCAGGCACTATCATCTCTGATCTCAACTACAGTAATAATCTTGATTCATTTCTTCACCCTTGCTCCCTTTGATCCATTCTTCACATCCAAACTAAAACACTATTAAAGGTCACATCACTAATTACTTAGACAGTTAAACATAGAATATAAATCAAGCTACTACTCAGAAAGAGAGGGGAAAGTGGGGAAAAAAAGAGGATGAAAACCTGTGTAACACATCACAAGTATATTTGAGAGCAGCATGAATGATGAAGATAGTGTTTCCATGGTGAAGCAATTTGTCTTGCAGGACTTTGACTTTCCAAATCTCCAAGGATTTCTATATAGGTTGTTCTCCATCATTTACATAATTATCTTAATTGGAAACAGGCTCATAATCATAGTAACTAGATTTGACCCTACACTGAAGAAGCCTATGTATTTGTTTCATGGCAAACTTTTCTTTTCCTGAAAATCTGTTATATATCAGTCATTCTTCCAAGGATTCTATTCAGCATTTGGACTTAGGATGGAACCATATCCTGGCTGCACTGTGCCACTCAATGTGCTTCCTCCTTGTACTGACAACCACTGCAAGTCTCCTCATGGCTGTAAGGTTGTGGGACCACTATGTGGTCATCTGTAACCCTCTATATTATCTACTGGTTATGGACCCAAAGAAGTACATTCATCTGGTCATAGGTTTCTGGTTCAGTGGAATGTCAATCCAGCTAGCACAAACATGTCAAAGATTCTCTCTGAATTTTTGTAGTTCTAGTCAAATTGATTACTTCTGACATGCCCCCTCCCCCATCATCAAGCTAGCCTGTGGGGATACTTCTGTGCAAGAGCTGTCTATGTAGTAATTTTGGTTAGTACCATCCCCTTCATATTGGTCACTGGGTTTTTTTGTTTGTTTTGGTTTTGGTTAGTTGTAGGGCTTGAACTCAGGGCCTGGGCACTATCCCTGAGCTTTTGCATTCAAGGCTAGTGCTCCACCATTTTGAGCCACAGCTCCACTTTCAGTTTTCTGGTGGTTAACTGGAGATAAGAAACTCACAGACTTTCCTGCCTGGGCTGGCTTTGAACTGCTATCCTCAGATCTCAATCTGCTGAGAAGCTAGGATTACAGGCATAAGCCAGCAGCACCCAGCTGAGACCTATCTTTCTGTTTGCTTTGTACTCTGTTAAATCTATTGTCTCAACTCACCTGGATCTGAGGTTCTCAGATGGATTTTAGGTTTTCGTAGCAACCAGGATGGGAGACCCCCCTTGAGAAAAGCATAAAGACAACAAAGAAGAATGTAGGTTCTGTTTGTTTGGGGATGCACTGGAGGAGTTAAGAAGGGAAGGAGTTGAGGATAGTGCCATAAATGGCCCTAAAGTGCAGGCAAATAGGCATTATTTAGAAACCCCACATGGTTCTGTCCCCTCTCCAACTAACTCACCATCTCCCACTCTGCACAGATGTAAGGTCCTGGTCTCAGTATGACCAACAGGTTTGCTTTAGCTGCCTCATTCAGAAAGGCAATGAGGTCACGACTGCCATTAAAGTTAAACACCCCAGGCTCTGGCTCATGGTAGTTCCAGGGCACATAACTGAGAAAGGAAGAGGTTAACAAGATGGGGAGATGCCAGGGAGTCTGAGGGCTCAAGTATTGAAGGGAACCGCCAGGAAACAGTTGAAAAGAAGGTGCTGGGCCATCCTTTTCCACCCTTGTCCCAGGAGCCCCGGAGACTTTTCAGACTTGGGCATCTTCCTGTCCGGACCCCTTTCCTAACCGCCCCCCATTGCTCTCATGAGCACTTCTTACAACTGTATGGCATTGAGGCCGCACAGTCGCATCTTGAAAAGTCGGTCTGCCCAAAGCACCCGGGGTATCCGGTAATAGTGTATACTGCCCGACACGTAGCGGAACGGGAATCCGTCCAGGAGGAACTGGTTGTGTGTCCGATCTACTACGAACGACCGAGAGTCTACCTGCAAAGAGAGAATGCTGGTGCTCAGCCAGTGTCTGACCAGAGCGGAGGAGGTGGAATTGGCTTTGCGGACTATTCGCTGGAGTGTGTTCTCTCTTCCTCCGGATTCTGGCCTCCCCGCACTTGGCCCGCTGGGTCTGCCCTCTGATCTTACCTGGGGCAGTAGCAGCAGTGTCAGAAGCAGCAGCAGCAGGGAGGGAAGAAGACAGGGCCGCTTCTTCCGAGCCATGGCGCTTCCAGGGCTCCTCCAGTCTGAGCCGTCCGTCCGATCGTCACGTGTCAGATTCCTGGGAGGGAACCTCAGCGAGCAAGGGGGCGGTAACCACCTCGTTTCTAGGCAGTTAAGCTGAACTTGGTCCTTCAGCCACCCACCTCACTACTAATTTGTAAAGTTCTCTACACTTGCTATCCAAAGTGCAGTTCTTGCAGGAATGTGGTGGTTCATGCGTGTCATCCCAGCTGCGAGGAGGCAGAAGTTGGGAGATTTCTGTCTGATGCCGGTCCCAAGCAAAGGCTAAACCCTGCCTGAGAAATAGGGCTGGGGACTCATATAGCAGAGCCTAGCAAGTGCAAGCCCTGAGTTCAAATGTCTCCACCCCTTCAAAAGAAAAAAGAAATGTAGACTCTCAGGTCCTATTTCAGTCCTACAGAATTGGAATTTGTAATTTAGCAAGATTCCTAGGCCATCCTAAGCATATTTAAGATTGAGAAGCATTGCTCTACTAGATTAGGCTCCCTGAGTACTTGAGTGTTTTGTCCACCTTGAATCCTCAGCATCTAACACAGGGCCTGGTATGTAGTGGGTTAAATCTAAATGATTGTCAGAAGCAAGGACTGAAACAACTTCAGAACCAAATGGAAATCATAGGAAAAATCTTCACTATGATCATGGATGTAGAAGTCAAGGAATCAGGTTACAAGAACAACCTTTTTTTTTTTTTTCCTGAAGAGTTCTGAATCAGTTTAATAATTAAATAGCCCAGTGCTGGTGGCTCATGTCTGTAATCCTAGCTACTCAGGAGGCTAAGATCTGAGGATCATGGTTCAAAGCCAGCCCAGGCAGGAAAGTCCAAGAAACTCTTTTTTTTTTTTTCTTTTCAAGAAACTGTTATCTCCAGCAAAAACCACCAGAGAACCAGAAGTGGTACTGTGAATCAAGTGGTAGAACACTAGCCTTGAGCTGAAGAGGTTAGGGACAGCGCTCAGAGTTCCACGACCCCCCCCCCCCCAAATTATATATAGCCAGGTACCAGTGGCTTATGTCTGTAATCCTATTTACTCAGGATTGTGGTTAGTGATAATTGTGGTTTGAAGCCAGCCAGGGTAGGAAAGCTTGTGAGAATTATCTCCAATTAACTACCAAAAAAGCCAGAAGTGGAGTTGTGGCTCAAGTAGTAAAGCACCCTAACCCTGAGTTCAAGCCCCAGGAATGGCACAAAAAAATTGTGTGTGGGTGTGGGTGTGTTTGTGTCTGTATAACATATCCCTATCTAGGCAAGAACTGTCAAAGACTACTGCTTGGTACCAAGCTTTGGGCGTCTGTGAATTTCCATTCCTACTGCTTTCATAATTCCAAGCCTGGGAGAGAAGGAACAGGGTAATGACTATTTATTCCTGTTTATTTTTTATTTTTTTTGGGGGGGGTCCGGTCGTGGGGCCTGAACTCTGGGCCTGGGTGCTGTCCCTCAGCTCTTCAGCTCAAGGCTAGCACTCTACCATTTGAGCCACAGCACCACTTCTGGCTTTTTTCTTTTTGCTTATGTGGTGCTGAGGAATCAAACCCAGGGCCTCAGGCATGCAAGGCAAGCGCTCTACCACTGAGCCATTTTCCCAGCCCTATTCCTGTTTATTGACACTTACTGTGGGCTCTGTGTCAGATACTGTGTGAAGCACGTTACATCTCAATTTTTACACAATTCTATGAAATTCCATTTTCATTTTACAGATAAGAAAACTAAAGGACTGAAATATTAAGCAGCCTGTCCAAGGCTAAACTAGTTTAGCTGAGATTGGAACTAGTCACTTAGGCTTCACAGTTCCTTCACTTAACCCTGCGGTATTATATCGGGTCTGTTCTACAGCTAGGAAAAATGAGGACCTAAGTAACTTGCTGTTGCTCCAACAGCTAGGAGGCTAATGGGACCAGACTTAAAAACCTGCTCAAGCGAACTCTTTACCACTGACACTAGGGTAGTGGGATACGGGCCTGGGCCCTGAAGGTGGTATGAGATCCACGGGTCCAGGCCGCCAGCACCCGACCCTCCCGGGGCTGTCGTGAGACGCTTTCTGACCCCAGCGCGCGGGAGGTATGAGGCCTCCTACCTCCGTCATTGGGAGCAGGAGGTCCTGGGGGCCTCGGGCCGAGCCCGGCTCTGCTCCCCTTTGGCGTAAGTGCCTGCGGCTTGACCCCTACTGGAGCCAAGTGGGGAAACCCTCTCCCGGGTCTAGCCCGCCCCCAGCCTCACAATTCGAAGCTCCCACATCCTCCGGATGCCCAGTAGTTGCTAGGATACGGTAGACCGTTACTCCGTCGCGGAGTGATGACGTCTGCACGGCTTCCGGTCCCAGGCTCTTCGTTCCGGCCCGAGCCAGGTCAGTGTGGGGTAGTGCCGGCCAGCAGGCTGTGGGCTCCGCGCCGAGAGGCGGGCAAGCGGGCTCTGCCAGAGCCGGGCCCAAGCCTTGCACCTCCTCTAGGGCCACCATATGTGGTGTCGCCTTTGCGACTAGACGGGCGTGGGAGCAGGGCCCAATCCGAAGGTGGGCCGGGGTTGAAGGAAGCCTCTCTGGACAAGACACGGCATGGCCTGATCCCAGCATTCTTGTAGACAGCGATGCCAGGCCCTGTCTTCTTCAGATGGGAATCTAGGTTCTGAGGCCTGGGCCTGAGGTCTCCGCAGTGCTACTCCAGGAACCATCTGGATGGTGCGGGACCTGAAACTTGTGTTGTTTTCCTTCTAGCATGATCCGCTGGGCATTCAGTGCATCGCCTAGAAAAGCTCGCTCACCAGGGACCAGAGACCATCCTTGAGGAGAATGATTGAGACATTATGGGCCACTCACTGTGTATCTGCTCACGGGGAACTGTCATCATTGACAATAAGCGTTACCTCTTCATCCAGAAACTGGGGGAGGGGTGAGTGTTTGGAAATTATTTAGCCAGTCCTCAAGGTAATGGTCAGTGAGGGATTACAGTCAGTCTGCACATGCTAGGGGGACAAGGGCTTAATATCTATTCACTACCTCACCTTAATGGGTCAGGAAATGGATTTTGAACCCAGGCCTCTTAGATTCACCTTGTGTGACCTTGGTAAGCCATGGTTTATTCATCTGCTCAATAGAGATGATTGTAACGCTTCACTGAGGGGACTTGTGTGATTAGCTGCAAAAATGTCTTACCTGTTCCCTGGTCATACTTGATAAATAATGACTTTATTTGACTATAAATATTGACTTTTACCAGCATCTGTCATGTGCAGAGCACTGTTAGGACTATAGGACCTTAGTGCTTTTTGTGTCCCTACTCTAGAAGAGCTCAATTGTAAAAATTTTCTAACTTCTCTTAGAGCACATCTGGGGAGGGTTTCTGCTCAGTTTGAAGAGATTAACCCCCCCTCTCCCCAGGGAACTCCTCGGGGTCCAGGCTATATGGGAGGTGACCATGGTCCTTCACTGACCCCTTTGGCCCACAGTGGGTTCAGCTATGTGGACCTAGTGGAAGGGTTACATGATGGACACTTCTACGCCCTGAAGCGAATCCTATGTCACGAGCAGCAGGACCGGGAGGAGGCCCAGAGAGAAGCAAACATGCATCGCCTCTTTCATCACCCCAACATCCTTCACCTCATGGCTTACTCTCTGAGAGAGCGGGGTGCTAAGTATGAGGCCTGGCTGCTGCTACCTTTCTTCAAGGTAAGAAAGCTTTCTTGTTATGGTGGGAGGGGGTTTCGAAAGAGCTACCTACCAAGTGGGCTTGTATGAACTGATCAAGCTTGTATGAACAGGGGCTATGCCCTGGCTTTGGCCACATTGAATTTGGGATTTAGGGTTGGGGACATGACTCAATAGTACAACACTTGTCTAATATGTGAGGGCCTGGGTTCACTCCCTAGTACTGGACGGGGGAGAAAGGAAATTTATGGCTGGACTTCATGGTACATGCCTGTCATCTCAGCACTCTGGAGGCTGAGGCAGGAGGATGGAGAATTCAGAGCCAACTTGGACTACTGAGTGAGTTTGAAGCAAACCTGTAGACCATGTCAAGAAACAAAAAAGTCAGTTTGTGTTTTAGAGGAACCCAGGTAGAACAATGGGGTCAAGATGTATTCGGTGAAAGAGTTGCTAGGCTTTGATCTAGGGTAAGGATTAGGCCCAGGGAGCAAAGACTTCAGTAACATCTCAACTGCAGGAAAACTTCTGTTGTAGAGAGGCACACTGTGGAATGAAATAGAAAGGCTGAAGGATCAAGGCAATTTCCTGACTGAGGATCAAATCCTTCGGCTGCTCCTTGGTATCTGCAGAGGCTTGGAGGCCATTCATGCCAAAGGTTATGCTCACAGGTTAGTGGGAGTGCTCTATATACTTGCTGGGACTAAGAGGAAGAGCCTTGACAAAAGAACCGGTCTGTTTTCCTCCTAGAGAAAGCTTCCATGGTTCTTTTACTTACTGGGATTCTCAACTTCTTGTCCACAGGTGCTCTTAGCACAGATATTCACCTTTACTTTTCCCCAGGGACTTGAAGCCCACCAATATTTTGCTTGGAGATGAGGAGCAGCCAGTTTTAATGGACTTAGGTTCTATGAATCAAGCACGTATTCATGTGGAGGGCTCCCGACAGGCCCTAGCGCTGCAAGTAAGTCCCTAGATTACTTTTCCTACTTGCTCCCCATCCCTAACTCCTTCTGGTGGATGCCCCAATTTGGTTATATGACTCTAGCTTGTGACCCACTTCTGAGCTTGGGCTACTTGTTCCAGGACTGGGCAGCACAGAGGTGCACCATCTCCTACCGGGCCCCAGAACTCTTCTCTGTGCAGAGCTACTGTGTCATTGATGAGCGGACTGATGTGTGGGTGAGGAGCATGTGGGTACAGAGGGGAAAGTTCTAGTGTGGACTAGAGGGCAGGAGGCCTTTGGTTTCTGTTGCATGGGGTAAGGAACCTCATATGTCCCCATACCTCTCAACTTCCTTTCTGAGAACTGTCAAACTATTGCTCAGGAAGTGGTCTAATCCCTACCACTAAACTGGGTGGGGGCAGCTCAATGTCAACGCTGAAGCCTCCAGCTAATTGCAGTTTCTCTGAG